CTCCATGACGAGAACACACATTTCTACAGTCAAAGCTGACACGCCCTAGCTAGGGTTGATTCTAGCGAGCATGTAGCATTTTATTTATGGATGTTTTTGGTTTTAAAGTACATCAAGTATTGTCTTATCATGATGCATTCATTCAATACAAAATCATTCTATTTAGTTTGAGAGTAGGGAGTAATTCATGGGCTGATCATCATATTAACATAGGTTGTTTACACTCGCGAAAAATCTCCAGGCTAACTGTCGACAGAAACTTCCCTCCCCCTGCCACAGGTGAATATATAATTTTGATAGTAACAAACAAACCTATTTAAATTGAAAAGGAGTCCCGGAAGGCCTGGGGAAATCTAGACTTCATGCAGAGCCTTAGCACTGCAGGGAGGGCTAGGCTGTAGGAAAATAATATGGTTCAGGGACTTGGAGACAGGCTTATGTTAGACCAACGATTTTGAATACAACTTGAGGAGGTATCATATTGCACCTTGGCTGAGTGAGACGAGGGAAGTGTAGAGGCAGCGAGTTTAATTCACCATGCCTCAACGGCGCACGCTTTGAGATTTGAGAAAACAGATTTTCTCCACAGGCGACAGAAAAGGTTATTGAGTATCGAAAATATAAACATTTTGTGAAAAGACGTAGTTAGTGATAACCTCAACTGACTGTCAGAGGGGGTTTACATAGGTAGAATTGAAACCGGATGAAACTAGTTTGTGGTCAGTGGTCCAGTGAGATCGATAGTTGCTCTACGCCGATTGGTCCAAAATAGTGGCGTGATGTCATGGTGTGATGCTATGATGTCACGCCAGATCCGTTTCCCACGGGGCGCGCGGTCATTGACCCCTGTGAAATGAGATCAGCCAGGTGTTCGATGACGTCATTTGGGACTATTCCAACCCCTATACAACAGATACATTCATATGTTGTTACACATTTTCGGCGATACATTCATAGGTTGTTACATATTTTCGGCGATACATTCATATCGTTTTACATATATTCGGTGATACATTCATATGTTGTTACATATTTTCGATGATACATTCATATGTTGTTACATATATTCGGGGATACATTGATGTGTTGTTACATATTTTCGGCGATACATGCATATGTTGTTACATATTTTCGGCGATACATTCATATGTTGTTACATTTTTTCGGTCATACATTAATATGTTGTCACATATTTTCGGTGATACATTCATAGGTTGTTACATATATTCGGTAATACATTCAAATGTTGTTACATATTTTCGGTGATACATGCATATGTTGTTACATATTTTCGGTGATACATGCATATGTTGTTACATATTTTCGGTCATACATTCATATGTTTTTACATATTTTCGGTGATACATGCATATGTTGTTACATATTTTCGGTGATACATTCATATGTTGTTACATATTTTCGGTCATACATTCATATGTTTTACATATTTTCGGTGATACATGCATATGTTGTTAAATATTTTTGGTGATACATTCATAGGTTGTTACATATATTCGGTCATACATTCATATGTTGTTACATATTTTCGGTGATACATCCATATGTTGTTACATATTTTCGGCGATACATGCATATGTTGTTACATATTTTCGGCGATACATTCATATGTTGTTACATATTTTCGGTCATACATTCATATGTTGTTACATATTTTCGGTGATACATGGATATGTTGTTAAATATTTTCGGTGATACATTCATGTGTTGTTACATATTTTCGGCGATACATCCATATGTTGTTACATATTTTCGGTGATACATGCATATGTTGTTAAATATTTTCGGTGATACATTCATGTGTTGTTACATATTTTCGGTGATACATGCATATGTTGTTACATATTTTCGGCGATACATTCATATATTGCTACATATTTTCGGTGATGCATTCATATGTTGTTACATATTTTCCGTGATACATTCATGTGTTGTTACATATTTTCGGCGATACATTCATATGTTGTTACATATTTTCAGTGATACATTCATATGTTGTTACATATTTTCGGTGATACATTCATATGTTGTTACATATTTTCAGTGATACATTCATGTGTTGTTACATATTTTCAGTGATACATTCATGTGTTGTTACATATTTTCGGCGATACATTCATATGTTGTTACATATTTTCAGTGATACATTCATATGTTGTTACATATTTTCAGTGATACATTCATGTGTTGTTACATATTTTCAGTGATACATTCATGTGTTGTTACATATTTTCGGCGATACATTCATATGTTGTTACATATTTTCAGTGATACATTCATATGTTGTTACATATTTTCAGTGATACATTCATATGTTGTTACTAATGTTCGGTGATATAATTTAGATATTGTCACTTATTTTCTGTGATACATTCATATATTTTCACTTATTTTCGTTGATCAGTTGATATCTTGTTCTCACTAATTATCACGTATTCCTACATTTGATATTGATGGATTATCATTGATCAGCTGATATTTTGTTTTGACTCACTCGGTGTTTACTCACCCAAGTTTACTCTCTATTTTGGCGGTGCGCCCAGTGGAATCTCTGTCTGACTCAGTTCTAACTATTCTCTTACGTATTATATTTTATCAACATGTCACAACCGTCAAACCCTGTAGCTGACAGTATCAAAGCGATACATTTGTTTACTGATGATGTGGCAGAGGTTTCGACTAACGTCATATTGTTTGTGTCAGATCCATGATGCAGATGCAAATATTTTAAACGTCAGAATATGACAGAAATGTAACTGAATTTAACTTCAAACCTAATTTGAAACTGGAAAACACTTTTAACTTTCATAGTAAGGAAAAAAATTAACAAACATTTAACTTTTGTGCTGCCCCCTGAGAACAGCGGAAAGCAGGCATAATGTTCTTCACACTGAAGGATGTTGGTAGGAACACCTCCTTCAGATGCGCCGCGTGTATTTTAAGATATTACGCAATGTTTCTGTTGCACCATGTTGATATATGCATTCGTTTCATTTCTATATTGAATTCCTTGTCAGATTGGACAATCAAAACATGCGTTAGGTATATCGATCACTTGATCTTGTCCGACCTTAACTTGACTGACTGACTGACTGAGTTTGGTTTTACGCCGCTTTTAGCAATATTCCAGCAACATCAGGGCGGGGGACACCAGAAATGGGCTTCACACATTGTACCCATGTGGGGATTCGAACCCGGGTCTTCGGCGTGATGAGCCAACGCTTTAACCACTAGGCTACCCCACCGCCCCCTTAACTTGCAATAGCACAGAGCAGTGACTCAGCAATATTCCAGCTACACGGCAGTTGTCTGTAAATAAACGAGTCTGGACCAGACGATCCAATGATCAACACCATGAGCATCGATCTATATGCAATTAGGATACGATGACATATATTCGTCACAGTGCCAATTCAGGAACATGGAGATCCCGTTACATGACTTGTTACAAAATTAGTTATCCTTACACGCCGAAGACCCGGGTTCGAATCCCCACATGGGTACAATGTGTGAAGCCCATTTCTGGTGTCCCCCGTCGTGATGTTGCTGGAATATTGCTAAAAGCGGCGTAAAACCAAACTCAGTCAGTCAGTTGTGTCTTTATATTTAACTCTTCCAACAAACATTGTATTATAACCTTTTAAAAACTCTTGACGTTTTTAAGTTTAGATTTAGTTTAATCACAGCGGTAACAGAGAGAAAAATCCGAAGCCACGACTGGAAAATGAGAGGCCTAAGCTGACATGCCCTGACATATCTGTAATACTAGTAAAACTCAGTCAGTCAGTCAGTCAGTTATCCTTAATTGCACAAAATATTTCAACTGAAAATGCATTTTATCAAAGGTTACTAATATAAATACGAAAGAATTGAGTGACAGTCTCGACAAGGAGAAGACAAGACATAATGCAAATAGTCAGCCTTCAATACTTTTGTTAAAGCCACGGTTTTCGATAATTCCGAAACATATGAGTGAGTGGTGAGTGGGTAAATGAGTGAGTGAGCGAATGAGTGAATCCGAACATATTTTGATCATATCATTTCCCATACATTTAAAGGCACAATGTCTCGCTTTTTCGACAATATTTTGGACAATATTATATATATTGGGGCATGTGCACTCACTTTAGCTTCCTATTGATGCAATAAAAGACTTATTAACCCTTACGTATTACGTATCCCTCCCCCTCCCTCTACATTATTATTAGGGACGGTGGGGTAGCCTAGTGGTTAAAGCGTTTGCTCGTCACGCCGAAGACCCGGGTTCGATTCCCCACATGGGTCCAATGTGTGAAGCCCATTTCTGGTGTCCCCCGCCCTGATATTGCTGGAATATTGCTAAAAGCGGCGTAAAACTAAACTCACTTACTCACTCACTCTACATTATTGTTGATATTGGGTCACGTCACTTTGATTATCTTCAGAACAGGGAATGGTTATCAGTAAAAACTAATTGGGGGAACCGAGGTCCTACGGTGTTCTGTTGAGGCCATACCTTCTTATGTGGATGTCGGCTTAGTTGTCCTGTTCTGTTGGATTAGGTGAACATACAACCGTAGCGACTGAATGTGTTCTACATGTATTTTTTCCTCAGATGTAGGTATAATTGCCTTGCCAGGCAATCACGCAATGACTCCTTGCCACGAATAGCCATTCATCTGCGCGTTTTTGTGACCATTGTACTTTCCCTGTGTCCTCGTGACTGTCAAGTTCTCGTGCAAATTTGACAGTTACGATGTTATGAAGTTTCTGATTTGATGTCAAGCGACTGAAATGTATCCCTGTCCATAAAGAAAACTTTTCTTATTTCTTCTGTCAACAGAAGCGTCAACACAACACAGACGTGTAATTGGCAGGGCCCCTATGGGTTCCCGTACAAACCTCCATTTTGTTCCTTGAGGCGAAATGTACGACACCGATCCTCCACTCAGGTCTGGACATGTTGAATCTATTATTAGCATTTCGTAAGCTTGAACCATGCTATATAAACAGACGTTTCTCCTTTCGGGAGCAAGAAGCCGACGACGATGTTTTGTCTCAACAGTGTCACAGCTCTTGTTTTTCTCGGAGTGTGTTCGGGGCAGGCGCCGTCCACAGGAACAGGTGAGTTATTTCTATAAAGATGAATGTCTCAACTGTTTTAGGTACCTGTTTTCTGTAATTATATTTAGGGATCGTCCACGACACCGCACTGTCTGGAGACGCCCCATTAGGGCACGCCAGACACCTGTGGTCGGGTTCGAATCCCGGTTTGTGTGGATTGTGTTTTTAGGTTTGCCGACGCTCATGCTCGTGGATGTCATCAAAATCGTACACTCATTCCTTCTTCTGTCGATGTTTTCTTCAAGCTAGATACGAGACCAAACAAAGAATGTTAATTAACTCCAGAACCGTTACATAGTAAGATGACTGAAGCGTTGGAACTATTTCCTGCCAACTGACTTTATATAGATTACAACTTAAAAAACTGAACAGATAGAAACCAATTTCTTTCAAAATGTGTTCTGGAGAGCCTCATGCTGTTAATTATTATCGTTTTGTATACTGCGGTACTGTAGCTGTCGTTACTTCTGTAGCTGCTGTTGTCGGCACAGGTATTACATGACCATGTCCCAGGTGCCTTGCTGTTATCACACCTGGAACCAGCTGTATTTCTGTGCACACCTAAAACTAGCTACTTCTCTGTGTACACCTTGAATCATCAGCCTTTCTGCGCACACCTAAAACGAGCTACTTTTCCGTGTACACCAGGAACCACCAGCCTTTCTGTGTACACCTAAAACGAGCTACCATTCTGTGTACACCTGGAACCAGCTGCCTTTCTGTGTACACCTAAAACTAGCCACCTGAACCAGCTACCTCAGCTACTTTTTCCGTGTACATCGGGAACCAGCTACCTTTCTGTGTACCACTTTCTGTGCCTGGAACCAGCTACCTTTCTGTGCACACCAGGAACCAGCTACCTTTCTGTGTACACCAGGAACCAGCTACCTTTCTGTGTACACCTGGAACCACCAGCCTTTCTGTGTACACCTGGAACCAGCTACCTTTCTGTGTACACCTGGAACCAGCTACCTTTCTGTGTACATCTGGAACCAGCTACCTTTCTGTGTACACCTGGAACCAGCTGCCTTTCTGTGTACATCTGGAACCATCACCTGGAACCAGCTGCCTTTCTGTGTACATCTGGAACCATCAGCCTTCCTGTGTACATCTGGAACCAGCTGCCTTTCTGTGTTCACTTGGAACCAGCTACCTTTCTGTGTACATCTAAAACGAGCTACTTCTCTGTGTACCCCTGGAACCAGCTGTCTTTCTGTGTACACCTTGAACCACTAGCCTTTCTGTCATTCTGTGTAACGTGGAACAAACTGCCTTTCTGTTAACACCTGGAACCAGCTACCTTTCTGTGGACACCTGGAACCAGCTGTGTTTCTGTGTACACGTGGAACCAGCTACCTTTCTGTGTACATCTGGAACCATCAGCCTTTCTGTGTACACCTGGAACCAGCTGCCTTTCTGTGTACACTTGGAACCAGCTACCTTTCTGTGTACATCTGGAACCATCAGCCTTTCTGTGTACACCTGGAACCAGCTGCCTTTCTGTGTACACCTAAAACGAGCTACTTCTCTGTGTACACCAGGCACCATCAGCCTGTCTGTGTACACCTGGAACCAGCTGTCTTTCTGTGTACACCTTGAACCACTAGCCTTTCTGTCATTCTGTGTAACGTGGAACAAACTGCCCTTCTGTGTACACCTGGAACCAGCTACCTTTCTGTGGACACCTGGAACCAGCTGTGTTTCTGTGTACACGCGAAACCATGTAATTTTCTGTGTACACCTGGAACCACCTGCGGAACCTGCGAAGATCAGGGTTAGAATTGATCTTCAGTGACCCATGCTAACATGCGACTAACGGGATCGGGTTGTTAGGCTCGTGACTTGGTGGACGCATGTCATCGTATCCCAAATGATTTGATCGATGCTCATGCTGTTGATCACTGGATTGTCTGGTCCAGACTCGATTATATACAGACGATAACCTTTCTGTATACACAACTCATTCCAGGTATCTACATACACAACCTCAATCTAAGTAAACTTAGGCTCAGTATTATTCGTTACACTGCTATACTGAGTCTAACAAAACGTTGTGGAAGGTCGCGTCAGCTAACCTTTGAGCGACCTATGACCGTCCAATCAAACGCAGTGTAACGAATAATACTGAGGCTAAGTTTACTTAGACTGACACAACCTACTCCAAGTAGTTCCCCGTATGCAGAACTCATCCAAAGTACCTCTCGCTATAGGTACCTTTCTGTCTACACAACTGACCCAAAGTACCTCCCGCTATAGGTACCATTCTGTCTACACAACTGACCCAGAGTACCCTCCGCTATAGGTACCATTCTGTCTACACAACTGACCCAAAGTACCTTCCGCTATGGGTACCTTTCTGTCTACACAACTGACCCAATGTACCTCCTGCTATAGGTACCTTTCTGTCTACACAACTGACCCAAAGTACCTCCCGCTATAGGTACCTTTCTGTCTACACAACTGACCCAAAGTACCTTCCGCTATAGGTACCTTTCTGTCTACACAACTGACCCAAAGTACCTTCCGCTAGGTATGTAATTTACCTTTCTGTCTATAACACCCTGTACCCTAAAGTACCTTCTGCTATAGGTGACCTTTCTACCTTTCTGTCCACAACTGACCCAAAGTACCTTCCGCTATAGGTACCTTTCTGTCTACACAACTGGATGTAAGCTATAGGTACCTTTCCAATGTACCTCCTGTCTATGACCCAATGTACTCTACCTATTCTGTCTCTACAACTGACCCAATGTACCTTCTCGCTATAGGTACCTTCCTGTCTACACAACTGACCTTTCTATCTACACAACTGCCCCAATGTACCTCCAGCTATGGGTACCTTTCTGTCTACACAACTGACCAAATGTACCTCCCGCTATGGGTACCTTTCTGTCTACACAACTGACCCAAAGTACCTCCCGCTATGGGTACCTTTCTGTCTACACAACTGACCCAATGTACCTCCCGCTATAGGTACCATTCTGTCTACACAACTGACCCAAAGTACCTCCCGCTATGGGTACCTTTCTATCTACACAACTGACCCAATGTATCTCTCGCTATAGGTACCTTTCTGTCTACACAACTGACCCAAAGTACCTCAGCTATAGGTACCCTTCTGTCTACACAACTGACCCAAAGTACCTTCCGCTATAGGTACCTTTCTGTCTACACAACTGACCCAAAGGTACCTCCCGCTATATAGGTGCCTTTCTGTCTACCGCTAACTGACCCAATGTACCTCCGCTATAGGTACCTTTCTGTCTACACAACTGACCCAAAGTACCTTCCGCTATAGGTACCTTTCTGTCTACACAACTGACCCAAAGTACCTCCCGCTATAGGTACCTTTCTGTCTACACAACTGACCCAAAGTACCTTCCGCTATGGGTACCTTTTGTCTACACAACTGACCCAAAGTACCTCCCGCTATAGGTACCGTTCTGTCTACACAGCTGACCCTGACCCAAGTACCTCCCGCTATAGGTACCTTTCTGTCTACACAACTGACCCAATGTACCTCCTGCTATAGGTATCATTCTGTCTACACAACTGACCCAAAGTACCTTTCGCTATAGGTACCTTTCTGTCTACACAACTGACCCAAAGTACCTTCCGCTATAGGTACCTTTCTGTCTACACAACTGACCCAAAGTACCTCCCGCTATAGGTACCTTTCTGTCTACACAACTGACCCAATGTACCTTCCGCTATAGGTACCTTTCTGTCTACACAACTGACCCAATGTACCTCTCGCTATAGGTACCTTTCTATCTACACAACTGCCCCAATGTACCTCCAGCTATGGGTACCTTTCTGTCTACACAACTGACCCAATGTACCTCCCGCTATGGGTACCTTTCTGTCTACACAACTGACCCAAAGTACCTCTCGCTATGGGTACCTTTCTGTCTACACAACTGACCCAAAGTACCTCTCGCTATAGGTACCTTTCTGTCTACACAACTGACCCAATGTACCTCTCGCTATAGGTACCTTTCTGTCTACACAACTGACGCCAGGTACCTCCCGCTATGGGTATCTTTCTGTCTACACAACTGACCCAATGTACCTCTCGCTATGGGTACCTTTCTGTCTACACAACTGACCCTAATGACTGACCCTATGTAATGGGTACCTACACTCACTGTAGGTACCTTTCTGTCTACACAACTGACCCAATGTACCTCTCGCTATAGGTACCTTTCTGTCTACACAACTGACGCCAGAAGTACCTCTCGCTATAGGTACCTTTCTGTCTACACAACTGACGCCAGGTACCTTAGTTGTATACACAAAACAAACTCACCATACTTATCTGTATACACAATTCTACCCCGGTACCTTTCCGAAATCGCAACTGTTTACACAACTCGTTCCAGCTACTTCTTTGTAGTCCTCAGGTTCCCTTCTGTAAACACAACACGCAAAAGGTTCATTTCTGTGTATACAAGTGAACCTTGAACCTTTTCGTATACACAGCTGTAGCCAGGAACCTTTCTGTTTACACAGCTGACCCCCATAATCCTTGCTGTGAAGAACACTGACCCCAGATGAAGCTCTGTCCAACACAAGAGCCCGGATTCGATTCCTCTCATTCCTTTTCCGGTGTCCCACGCCGTGATATTGCTGGAATATTGCTAAAAGCACCGTAAAACCATATTCACTCACTCACTGACAGCTATGACTGCCTAACACGTATGTCGGCATACAGAGACAAAAAAAAATCAAATAACTGATGCGTATCTATATCTCAGTATTTGGTGATTTCAGTTTACTCCAGTGAATTCTGAACTTTGTCCTTATAACACGTCAATAGTTTGGGTTGTTTTATTTTGGGCATGCATTTTCTTTTAACCTTGCAGTCACAGAGCCATATCTTCCAAATGTGAAGTTCAGTTTGATGTAACTATTAAAACTGTCAATTTCAGTCAGTTCTGAGCGCGTATGTTCAGACGATAACGGAAGTCACGTGGTTATCACGTGATAGTAGCATGACAACTAACTAACACGTGACCACATATGTTGTCAATAAACGGCCCTGTGACCCATTTTATGCCAGCAAGTGTGTGCGTGATAACACGACAAGTGCAAACAATAAGGGGGTGTACCCTAAACTCAGTAAGGATGATGAGGAAGAGAGAAGGGACGGTGGGGTAGCCTAGTTGTTAAAGCGTTCTCTCGTTACGCCGAAGACGCGGGTTCGATTCCCCGCAAATGTACTAAGTGTGAAGCAGATTTCAGTTGTCTCCCGCCGTGATATTGCTGCACTATTGCTAAAAGCGGCGTATAACTAAACTCACTCACTCACTCTGTTTTGAAATTAAAGTGTTGTAACATGCCACAGTTCACGTCCCGAATAAAACTGTTCACTGCTGTGACTAGATATGTCAAAATCATAATGTCGTTTTATTCCAGACAGTGTTCATTGGTACTTCTCAGATCCTGTGTTTTCTCAATTTTTGACGATGGAGTTGGACGCTGATGCTGTTTGTGTAATTTCAGGCGGCAGTAATGACCTGCTTGTATTCACCCAAACTGCTATGGTGCACATCGACGTAACGACCGGTCAGTCCACTAGTTTCCCCAAGCCGAGCATCTTCAGCATCAGCGCCGTGGACCACGATCGTGTGGACAACAAACTGATCGTCGTGGCGGTCTCTAGTGTGATCTTTTCCTGCAACATGGACGGCAGTAACATCACCTACCTGCGTGATTGGACTTCAAATCCTTGTATGTAGTGTAGTATCATGTACAGAATTCCCTTATGAGTTAACAGCGTGATGTACAGAATTCCTTTTTGAGCTAACGTGATGTACTTAATTCCCTTAAGAGTTAACAACCTGATGTACAGAATTCCCTTATGAGATAACAGTATGATGTACAGAATTCCCCTATGAGTTAACAGCGTGATGTACAGAATTTTCTTATGAGCTAACGTGATGTACAGAATTCCCTTATGAGTTAACAGCGTGACGAACAGAATTCCCTTATGAGTTAACAGCATTATGAGAATTCCCTTACGTGACAGTGTACAGAATTCCCTTATGAGTTAACATGAGTTAAGTTAAATGTGTGTGTGATGAGTACAGCTAACGTGATGTACAAATTCCCTTATGAGTTATGTACAGAAATCCTTTATGATTTACAGGATGTACAGAATTCCCTTATGAGTTAACAGTGTGATTTACAGAATTTCATTATGAGTTAATAGAGTGACGTACAGAATTCCCTTATGAGCTAACGTGAGGTACAGAATTCCCTTACGGGTTAACAGCGTAACGTACAGAAATCCCTTATGAGCTAACGTGATGTACAGAATTCCCTCATGAGTTAACAGTGTGATGTACAGAAATCCCTTATGAGATAGGTGATGTATAAAATTCCCTTATGAGTTAACATGATATACAAAATTCCCTAATGAGCTAACATGAGGTACAGAATTCCCTTATGAGTTAAATGCGTGAGGTACAGAATTCCCTTATGAGTTAACAGCGTGGTGTACAGAAATCCCTTATGAGCTAACGTGATGTACAGAATTCCCTTATGACATAACAGCGTTATGTACAGAAATCCCTTATGAGTTAACAGCGTGATGTACAGAATTCCCTTATGAGTTAACAGCGTGATGTCCAGAATTCCCTTACGAGATAAAGTGATGTACAGATTTGGTTATGAGTTAACAGAGTCCTGTACAGAAATCCCTTATGAGATAGGTGATGTACAGAATTCCCTCATGAGTTAACGTGATATACAGAATTGCCTAATGAGTTAACAGTTTGATGTACAGAAATACCCTTTGAGATAACGCGTGATGTACAAATATCCCTTATGAGTTAACAGCGTGATGTACAGAATTCCCTTATGAGTTAACAGCGTGATGTACAGAATTCCCTTATCAGTTAACAGCGTGATGTACAGACGAGCGGAAGCTTTAACCACTAGGCTACCCCACCGTCCACCGCCATCAGTCCGGTGTGCTGAATATGTCGCACGACTCATATCGCCATGTTTTGTTCTCAGCGCCTTTCACAGACAGTCTGGCAGTTGCTAGTGATGAGCGACTCGTGTTTTTCGGTGGAAGTGGCCGTCAGGTTGTCCGAATGAGTGTCACTGGAGAACACGAGACTAGTCAACCGCCAGAACACGGTTCAAAGAATGGCTGTCGATCATACCACAAGGTACGTGAGTAACTTCTATGAGTCTCATTTTAGAAGTTGGGACGGACAATATTGAACTAACTTCATGGATAACAACTTCTCTATTTCGTGAGTGCGACGTTTCGATACAGAATTGTGTACCGTAGTCAAGCAGAGACTGACAACTTTACAAGAATCTGTATCGAAACGTTGTTGTCCATAAAGTTTGTTTATTTATGTAAGCGAGTAGTGTAATTCTCTAAAATGAACAAATTGTTATGTGGTGGCGTGTGGTTCTATGCAGTCCTGTGCATAGAGCTCAGGTTACAAATCAGATGAAGTTAAGCAACCATCACCGCGGAAAATCCTTGGATGGGTGACTGTTTTGGGCAGCTTGACTCCTGAGAGATTCTAGGACTTCAGTCCTGCCTCAAAACGAAGCACAGATGACACATGTCGTCCCACCTCAGGCAAGTGAGTTTGTTCAAAATTGCCTCTGTTAACCCAGCAGAAAGTGGGTACCCGGTGGGACAAGTCATGTGACTAATAACTTTCCAGCGCCTCACAGGCACCTTGGGTTATCCGGGGTAATAATGTTTTAGCACTTTGGGCATGCACAAATGTGTGGAAAAGGCGCGTTATAAATGGTCATTATTATTATTGTTATGAACAATAATACCTGGCGATCGCACAAAGATCATGTACGACCTGCAGCCAACTCAGAGACATACCACAGACATTCCTCACCTATGTTAAAGTATAAGAGTTATGAGAATATTGGTCCTGCGCAGCCTATACTTGTCGAGTACCGGTTGTCGTAACGGGCGACGTGATGTTCGTGGTTGACAGCGTATCAACGTACACCGGAGGTTAGGACCTGTCCTCATCAGTTGCCATTCCGGAGCCTTAGTGAGTGAGTGAGTTAAAATTTTAAGTCACATCGGCAATATTTCAGCCATATCGTGACTAAACAATGTTTAGAATTCACCATATATACATGCAAATTATAAAAACCTGCCATTGAAGGACAGTAAAACCGACTAGATTATCACAGTATCAAGAAATAAAACCAGCATCTCTTCCTAAAATTGGATTTAAATTAGGACAATACAGTATAAAATGGGCTATAGATCGCCAACAACTGAAGGTAGATCACCATACCAGGGTGAGGTGAGGTGAAATTGGGTTTAACGTCGTGCTTGAGAATATTTCGCTCATATGACGACATGCATGCGTGTGTATGTGTATGTGCGGCTGCTTGTACTAGCCCAGACTGAAGCTGGATTTATAGTGCTAGCCCACTGAGATACCATGCCGCAGTGAAGCATGAATACCCCACTCAGACACATTATACTGACTCCGAGCCGACCAGTCCTTGTTGTACCCATTAATGCCGAGCGCCAGACAGGAACGAACAAGTACCATATTTTAACGTCTTTTGGTATGACGCGGTCGGGGATCGAACCCGCGACCTTCCGCTCTCCGGGAGGACGCTCTAACCACTACATCAAGGAAGCGGTCACCATACCAGGGACTCCGGGGCCTTAAACAACAAAACAAGATCTGTATAAGAGAGCCAAGTTCGATACCTGATAAAGAAACACCGTTCAGACATTTTAAGCATTTTGTCATTCAGAAAGGTTAGTGACAGGATAGTTACAGGCCGAATAAAGGAACCCAGTGTGATCTACTGTTTCAGCAGTTTCACTGAAGTTATGCCCCGTTCTTATAATCACGATACCAGCTAATGGCGATGGTGTCTTGTTTGTTATAGACAGACATAATTGCAAGGCTGCTCTGTGTTCATGATATATAAATGCTAAGTTCAAAAGTATGTGATATGTCAGTGATGTAGGAGCTCGAAACAGTCCTGGCTTAAGGGATACTTTCTTACGTCACATTTGTTCTTCATATTCATGAACATGTTTGTTTACAATTCGTCTCCACTGATGCTTTGGGGGACACGAACCACTGTATAAATAAGTATATAAGTAGTTTCTAAGATTGTATTTGCACAAGAAAGACTGAAGATCTCTACAAATAGTTGATGTTCGGGGCGTATTAGCCAGATGAGCACAGAATATTTTACGAGATTGTCACAACTAGTGTTAAGAACAGTATATTTAAGCCTCACCAAGGGAACACAATATGAACATATGATGTGCGTTAACAAGAGTACCCTCGCCATTCTTCATTGAATTATGTGTGACTATAGTGGGGTAATCTAAATTACAAACTGAATCTTTTTAGTAAACGGATATAAAATCTACAGCATTCATAAATATAACGATAAAATCAGGCATAGAGGGTTTATGATTTATAAAAGTTTCATTAGATAGCAAAATAGTGTGTCGTTATTTCCATTTACAGTGTGGTTGCTATCGCAGGTTTCTTTGGAGACTATAGTCGCTACAATTATAGCCAGTTAATTGTGGGCTACATTTTCCTCCCCATGTGATACAAATGGAATTGGTTTAGCGTTAGCGAACAGCGTGACGTTCGACTCGCCTTGGTACAATTCACGTAATATTAACGGGACTGCCATTCATGCTCATTATGGATTAATTTAAATGTATGTCCATTTATCGTCACGACAGGATGGTCTTCTGGTGTGAGCGAGGGATGGACAATAATTTGTACAAGATGGGGTTTGATGGAGGACCTGTAGCGATACACAAGGACCTCCGGTTCTTTGGGCCAAAACCGCGGGCCATGGACTTTGTCAGTAAGTAGTCCGTATTGTTCACGTGTTTGTCTGGAGAAGTCGAGAAGCTAGAGGTAGCTATTATAATTACAGCTGCAAAGCTGGACCAAGATGAGTCCGGCGTTAACCAAGCAGATAATTCTTTCACCCAGTAATGTGGGAAGACCATGTAATGTCTGTGTGAGATCCGGGTTAGAATCAGCAGCAACCCTGGCGTGTCGGAAGAGGCGACTGACGCGATCATGTAGTCTTGGCTGATCCATGCCATCGCATCCCAAACTTATGTTCATTGTCTAGACTATTATTTACAAACAGCCACAACGTACGAGGAAAATCGCTGAGTGCGGCGTAAAACAACAAACACACAAGCTTTAACACGAAACAACTCAACACATTTCAAGCTTTGTTGATGGACAGATAACAGGATGTTCACGGTAGAGTATGATGGTATCTACGCTATCGACCTGGCGCACTTCGACTACACGGTGATCAACAGCAGGGGAAACCGTCGTGACCGGGACTATGACATCGTGTATGACCCAAGGAGACAGCGAGTGTTTTACTCCTTTGGCAACATCCAGTAAGTACCTGGCGTGAGTAGGGTTGACAACAATGTAGCAGAAAGTCAAACCAGTTCTCCCATCCCTGTTTGAACTGGGATAGTTCTTGAACTCAGTTATTATCTATATTTCTTCTAATGCTGGCCGTGATTCACCTACGGATGTCACCAACTGAATTTGTGAGTTTATGTTCAGTATAGCAATTAAGCGAGGGACACCAGGAATATGTTTTACACGTTGTACCTATGTCAGTCATCGATGTCTTTGACGTGGATGTATGGTACTGGATTGACATCTTTCCTTTGAAATGCGTAGAAAGGAGTACAACAAGGTCATGCATACTTTTCTTTGAGAGTTTTTGGAAATGGGTGTGCTAACAAAATGCCACGAAGACTTGTGTTTGTATTAACACTGTTCACCTTTCTTTGTATAGGAGAGTCAGGATGATGACTCCCACCGGCGAGCAGGATGCCACCGTTGGACCTGACCTTGGAAGCGGCAAGAAGGTGCTTCTCGTGCTGTAGGCGATGTTCATCCACACGCTGTTAACTGACACTGTAATCTCAACATATAATGGGAAAATAAACTAGATTACCATGCAAAGACGTGTATTTATATTTGTTGGGAAGATTGAGTGAATGCTATTAAACAAAAGTAACACTATATGATTCTCTCTGGAACCAGTGTTAATTAATCAAGCGGTGTGTGCACTCAAGATACTAAGCCACCGTACATTCTGGATAGAGGACTGACTTCTGGACGAGCAAACGCTTCGACTATTAGGCTATCCAATTGCCCATGAACCAGTCTTAGACCATTGTATTTTGCACATATTCTTCACAGTGCATGGTGGTCCTAAGTGGACCTGGTCAACCTTGCAGCTTCCATGGACTTCTGCTGGCCAATATACTGCTGAAACATATCACGTTGAGATGTTGTTCCAATTTCACGTAATTTGCAAGAAGCATGGCATAAACTAATGTCCCAAAAGAAACGATACCAAACATTTTTTCAATATATGTTTTAATTAAGTATTCTTTTTTGTATGAAAACTTGAGCGTTTCCCGTGTTCCAAACCAAACGTATTCGATCGAAAAATCCGGGAACATTTGATCAGTTGAGAAAAAACCCGCACATTTTGCAAAAATGATGTTACGTCCCGTAGCGAAATGCAACTCCAGTTCAACTTACAAAACTGCTGACTCGACACGTTGAGATCACTGCAACGAACAGCACACAAAACAAATTCCATGTTTGGCAGCGATTTAGAGGGATAGAGTGCCGTTGGAATGGTCCATCAGGGAGCAACGCACACCGACGTCGCCAGAAAGTTCGGATGCGCGCTCATAACCTTCACCAGGTCAATGCAGCGGTTTGCTCAAACAAGTTGGACAAGAGACAGGCCGAGAAGCGGGAGACCACGGGTGAAGACCGTCACATCCGGGTACTTCAACTCCGGAACCGCTTCATCGCGGCAAGGGCGGCAACTGGACAGTGATGAGTCGACAAACTGTGTACAGGCCATTGCAGGCACGTCGCCCCTAAAGCGAAGCGTTCCTGACACCACAACAGCGAGCCAACAGATTGGTGTGGGCAGGGGACTTCGACGTGCCGAGACTGGGCACGGGTCATGTTTTCCGACGAGAGCAGATTGTGCATCTTCAGGAACGATGGTCGGCAGCGTGTGTACTGACGAGTTGGTGAACGTTAGGCACAGAACTGCATTCATCAAGTCCGGCCATACAATGGTTTGGGGTGAAATACACGGTGACGCCAAAACGAGGAAACCCGAATGCACAGCGTTATCCAGATGAAACTTTACAACCAGTTGTTCAGCCAATCATCCAACAACAGCCTCGTGGAATCATTTTCCAACACGATAATGCAAGGCCACATACGGCAAGGCTGACTCAGAACTTCCTCGCCAACGCCAACATTTAAGTTTTACCATGGCATATTCACCGGATATGAAACCCGTAGACGTGTACTGGCGTGTATTGGTGTACATTGACGCTCACGATAAACATACCCTGTAATAACGTGAATTGGAGACGTCTGTTGTGACATATTCCACACTTGCCTAGTCATGTGTGTTCGAATGAAATTTTCATTTTGAACCCCTCACGTCTTTACAAGCCTGTCCTAATGATTGTAAAGGATTAATTGAAATGAATTCTTGTACACGTGTTATTGAAACGATTCTCAAATGAAATATGCTAATCGAAAATTTCTTTATCGTTATTTTTTTTTAATGTCCTTTCAAACACACGGTATCGTTTCTTTTGGACATTAGCTTACACGAGAAAAGTATGAAATTAGAAAAAAAACGCTCCGCTCATCGTTCTGGAACAAGTCCGACATGCCAAGCACAGATGAAAAGCTATATGTATGCTTCAGTCCGATACGTCGAAGCTTGACGTTGATCGTCGATTCATCGTCCATGGGAACACCCATGTTTCTTGCGTAATGATGCGTGCAAGAAAATCTTGTGCATCAGGTCTTGTAAAAGAATCTTGCACAACTGTTAATAAAGTTGATAATTAATTCCATAGCTAGTCAAGGACCAATGGACAAACTTAACACATGCAGCTTGAGTAACACATTTTATTTGGGTTAAGATTTGACGTTGCATTTATTTCAGTTATATTTCGACAACAAACAAAACCAATTGTCATTCTTCTTCAGTAGAAAATTACTTACTTGTACGGTTTCTAACATTAGGACTGACTGACTGAGTTTGTTTTTACGCCGCTTTTAGCAATATTCCAGCAACATCACGGCGGGGGACACCAGAAATGGGCTTCACACATTGTGCCCATGTGGGGATTCGAACCCGAGTCTTCGGCGTGACGAGCCAACGCTTTACCCACTAGGCTACCCCACCCCCCTCTAAGTAAAGATAAACGAATGACGATGAAAAGGGTTACACATACATGTGCACAGATAGACAAAAACACATACTGCACCTACATAACATTTGCTATCTTGATCAAAAGTTAAAAGTAAAATCAAGGTCAAAAGTAGAAATATCGTGAATAAGATATTGTTTTCTAACTGATCAATATCTTTACCAAACTGAAGAACGTTTAAGATGGTATTGTATGCAAGAGTGATTTGACGTACAACACATTGTTTTTTAACCTGAAACTCATGAGGCAGATCCTGCTGATTTCAGTTAGAAACTGCACGTCCCGTTTGTCTAGGATAAATACTAAATTTGAAGCATATGACCGAACCCGAATTTTCATTTGAAACCCTTTTCAAGACTGATAATTTCAGTCCTTAGATTCTTATGGAACGATGAAATTCGTAGATTTTTCATTATGTCATCCGCCGTTTTACAGAAATCTGAAGAAGTGACAATTTGAAGTACAATCTGTTTTTGTGTCAACGCCTTCAAATGTTCAAAGTGACGTATAATGTGATGACATAGGCCTGTAACATCATTTGCGAAAACGTCTATGTTATATAACAGTCCCAGCTTACATTCTGTCGATGTTCCAACTGTAAGAAGTGACACATTAAAGTTATCGGATATCGACTGGAGAGCGAACGTGTCCGGTGTCATTATGTATTTCATATTTGATGTGAAGAGACGGAGAGGAACCCAATTAATTATCATTTTGCCTTCAGGAAACAGTGTGTCTCGGATTTTCTCATCCTCAAGCAATGACGTCATAGTTGATGAGGTAACTTCTTCCAGATAAGACGTTTTTGTTGGTCCTGGACGTTCAATGTCTTCAGTTTCCAACTGGTAACTTAGAATGGTCTGCAACAGGAAAGTAGACCAGACAGATATTTATTATAAATCAAGAGACAAAAACAACAGTCGAATTACCTCGCCTCTCAGTTGAACGAGGTGGTGCTGTTACCCGGAATAAGAATATGGTTGTATGATGCCAGTGGTATCTCATGTACAAGGTGTGATCAAGACATTTTGGTGGTATGTGCTGCGCAAAATGAAACCTCATTTTAAGCACTGTCTACCAAATATTGGCCCTAATGATCTAGCGGAGGCAGCTACATGTATATGTATAGTATTCCCGGAAATTATTGAAAATAATCGGCAAATATCTAATACATGTATATAAACAATGGAAGGTTTACTTAAATGAATATGTTGAGATATGATTCTCTTACAGGATAAGTGTCCTTTCAGTACTTTGTGAGACCTGGTTTCTCTGCATGCGCCTTGGTTCACTACCGAGCCAAGTTTGTAGGAAATTTTCTTTCTTCATATCCTCAATATTTCTAGGTCCTTTTTTATTTATTCTGTCCTTCATTAGTCCCCACACATTCTCAATAGGGTTAAGATCTGGTTGTAGCTGGGCCATGTCCTTCATTAGTCCCCACACATTCTCAATAGGGTTAAGATCTGGTTGTAGCTGGGCCATGTCCTTCATTAGTCCAAACACATTCTCAATATGGTTAAGATCTGGGCTGTAGCTGGGTCTAAAACTTGAACATTTTCGTCCGACTGTTTTGTGTGCCGGCAGTGTGTTTTGGGTCATTATCATGTTTTCGGTCGTTATCCAATTATCTTACAACAGTGTTCGGGCCGTTGGAAGGAGGCCATCATTTAAGATGTCAACATATCGTTCCTTCGTCAAATTTCCAGTGAAAATACACAACAGCGTCATTCCACGTGATGATATCCCACCCCACATGTAAAATTTCGGGCTATGTTTTGGGCGTTGGTATATAGGTTTCACGGCATCTTTTGTCCAAATTCCCACACAGTTAGGAAAAGCCAGACAGAACTTTCATCAGAAAGGAAAACATTATCCCAATGATGATTTTCGTGATCCCTACACCAGTTTAAACGCCTTTCTTTTTGTGCATCTTTCATCAATGGTGAGGGCAATTCCGCGCTCTTTCACCCAGTTTAATCTTTGTAATTCTTCTCTAAGGGTTTCATTACATGCCTGAGGACTTCCTCTATTAATCATCTCATTTCTGATATTCACAACGCTTTTCCAATTTCCCCTACTCAGAATCTGACCAAGAGCAGGCGATCCGTAGTACTGAACTTCCTTGGCCTCCCTGCCCCTGTCTTGTGCTCAATCCCAACTCCTGACTGAATATTCTTCAAAGTTCTGAATACTGTAGACAGTGGAATGTCATGTCTACCAGCTTACTGTTTTGCATTTATCACACCCCTTTCAAAATCATCTAGAACCAGTCTTCTGCTGTCACATCTGCCATGTCAACAAACAAAACCGGGAGATAACTCTTGATAACTCTTGATGTAGTAAGGTTCATTCTTTTAAAGCCTACAAAAGTTGCCTCTCCTATTGAGTACCTTAATACATACTGTAACACCTACATTGTATTTTAATATTCTATTATCAGTATTTGGAAACAAACATTTTCTCACTTATTTCTGGGAAAACTGTTTGTCGTCATGCCACAGGGATCGTCTCGTCACACCCCAAACATAATATATGGGAAGAAATCTAAAGAAAGTTCTAACCATTGCTGTTCAGCAATATCGCTGTTTTACGTGTGTTGTAACTAGTACTAGTATGTGTACCATACTAGTATCACGGGGTCGAATAGGTCCACAACACCCCATCTGAATCTACTGAAATTACAAGAGTTTGTCAATGTAAAGGTTGCTGTCTCAGCGCACAAAACACTGAACACGTGTAGAGGCATTGTACGGAACAGAGCTCGGTGCCTGTCTGACATGACTGAGAAACAAATTGTCCAGGAACTTTCCCAGCAGTCTGTCACAGCTGTGAAGAGATTCACTATCAAGAAGGACGGTGTGGTTCAACCCACAAACACCTACCTCTTTACGTTCGCCCGATCGAAGATTCCCGAAACTATTAGAGCCGGTTATTACAGCATTGGTGTGGAGGTGTATGTACCTAATCCACTCCGGTGCTACAACTGCCAAAAGTTTGGACATGGATCCAAGTCCTGTCGTTCTTCTGCTGTTTGTTACCGCTGTGGTGACAAGCATGAGAGCAATGACTGTACTAAGGAAGTGAAGTGTCCAAATGGCTTCCTCCAAATCTTGTCCTATGTGGCAACGCGAATCAGAGATCATAAAAATCAAGAACAAAGAAAATGTCTCTTTTCATGAAGCTAAGAATAAAGGGTTGCAAGTTTAACTGTAGCCCCTTCAACCATCACCTACTCTTCTGCTGTCTCCCGTCCTTCTATCACTACTGCAACTATCTCCTGTCAGACTGATCTGACATGGGTCATGTCTTCTCAGCCAACTCAACTCAACTCAGCCACTCCATCTCCAAACATAAAAGTCAAAAGTTCTGAATCACAAACACCAGAACAAATGCCCAAACCAGAAGCAGAAACTGCGCGCGAAAAAAGGGAAAGAAAGAAGCTACAGAGACTAAAGCAGCTTGAGCAACTGCCAAACACAAACCAAAGGCCACCTCTCCTTCAGAGGTCCCCGTCGAGGTCCATAACTCCATTGGCCCTCTGGATATGGAGGTCACTCCATCTCCACCTGACACCAATAGGAGTTCATCAAACGCTTTCTCACGTTCACGTTACATGTCACCAGTGGAAGCACCATGAATCCACAAAACATGATTCAATGAAATTGCAGAGGACTTAAGAATAATTATAATGAATCACAGTTATTGATTCAAGACTGCAAACCATCCTCGTTTTGTCTCCAAGAAACCTACCTAAAAAGGACTGATAAATTTGACATCCGTCGGTACAGTTCCTACCACTCCCTTTCTCCCCCCGGTGTAAAAGCTACAGGAGGCATCTTCCATAGCCCTGTTCCACTTAACACCAACCTACAAACTGTTGCTGTCCGCATGACTCTGAACATAGGGTTTACACTATGTTCACTCTATCTTCCGCCCTCCTCAACTGTCCACAATCAGATCTTCAGAACTTGTATGATCTACTCCCAAAGCCCTGCATAATCATGGGCGACCTGAACGGCCATAATCCTCCATGGGGAAGTACTGATACAAATAATAAGGGAATGGTCCTTGAAGATTTTCTCTCCAATAATGATATATGCATCTTCAACGATGGATCAAACACTTATCTCCATCTTGCCACTGGAACATACTCTGCACTTGATCTATCACTTACGGATTCTAATCTCTTAAACGAGTTTGAATGGTCGGTCCACGATGACCTTTGTGGAAGTGACCACTTCCCAACTATTCTTACTCCTATCAATCCCGCGGATGAACCACCTTCAACAAGATGGAATGTTACTAAGGCCAATTGGCCATTATTCCAAACTCTCTGCTCTGAAAAACTTATACCGGACAACTTCAGGAATGTTCCTGATCCCATGGAACTATTTTCTGATATCTTAAATACTATTGGAGACGAAACCATTCCTAAGTCCTCTGCAAACCCGCACATACGCAAACCATGGTTTGATACAAACTGCAAACAAGCTAGGAAAAATAGGAAGAAGGCGGAAAAATACTTCCGACAACATCCTACTGTGCATAACCTGAATGCCGTTAAAATGACAAATGCCGGGCAAGACGCACATTTAAACAAACTAAACGCCGGTCATGGAGGAAATATGTGTCCAAAGGATCCAAATCTGGTGTTCGCCATCTCAAAGATGGTGACTCTCTTTTAACAAATAAATTTGAAATTGCAAATAAACTTGGCGAAACTTTGGCAAACCACTCCTCTTTCACAAATTGTAACCCCAAGTTCCAGAAATACCAAACCCAACAAGAAAAGAAATCAGTCAATTTTAACTCTGATAATGGTGAGGATTACAATGAAACGTTTTCTCTGCCCTGGGGCAGGCTCACGACACTCCGGCAGGAGCTGATGATATTCATTATCAGCTCCTCAAACTCCTCCCTGATTCAAGTTTGGAAACACTACTCAATATATTTGATGACATTTGGACAACCGGCAACTTTCCTCCTTCGTGGCACAATGCCATTATCATCCCTATACCAAAACCTGGCCGGGATCATACTGATCCCTCAAACTACCGTCCTATATCACTAACTAGCTGTGTTTGTAAAACCATGGAGCGTATGGTCAACACTCGATTATTCTGGTACTTGGAGACCAATAACCTCCTTAGTGACCTTCAATGTGGTTTCCGAAAGAACCGAAGTACCACTGACCATCTGGTGCGTCTGGAATCTTTTATAAAAAATTCCATTGTCAACAAACAGCAAACAGTATCTATATTTTTCGATTTAGAAAAAGCATACGATACAATGTGGAAACATGGTATCTTAAAAGATTTACATGAATTTGGATTGAGGGGCAGATTACCTCAGTTCATATCTCAGTTTTTAAACAACAGACAATTTCAAGTACGGGTAGGTTCCACACTGTCTGAATATTTCCACCAAGATCAGGGCATACCTCAAGGCAGCATCCTGTCTGTCACCCTTTTTATCATCAAAATTAACAGCCTCACTAACATCTTGAACAGTTGTGTTGATGGGTCCCATTTCGTGGACGATTTCAATATTTCATGTCATGCACGCAATAGAAAGGCAGCTTCAACTCTGTCTAAACAAAATCCAAAAATGGGCCAATGAAAATGGCTTTAAGTTTTCAAAATCCAAAGCAAATTGTTTTCACTTTTGTCGTAAATACAAACCACACAAGGATCCAGACCTATCCTTAGATGGTACTCCCATCAAGGTAGTAGAAGAGGCCAAATTCCTGGGACTCGTATTCGACCGTCACCTGACATTCTTACCACACATAAAATATCTGAAACCTAAGTGCTTGAAGGCTCTGGACTTACTAAAAAGTCGTTTCAAATACAGAGTGGGGAGGGGATCCGCCTACTCTCCTTCACTTGTACAGATCTTTGGTTCGCTCTAAACTAGACTACGGCTCCATTGTTTATGGTGGAGCCTGCCAAAGCAATTTAGAAAAATTAGATTCTATCCACCACCAAGGCCTGAGGCTCTGCCTGGGAGCTTTTAGGACCTCTCCGGTAGACAGTCTATGTGCAGAGGCTAACGAACTTTCCCTTGAACAACGCCGCATTAAACTTTCACTGCAGTATATCACTAAATTACGTTTCAAATCAGTCCAATACAGCATACAATTTTGTTTTCAACCCTCTCTATAAAAACCTGTTTCCTAAACTGCCAAACCTAGTTCCACCAGTTGGAATCAGAATTCAAACACACATATCTGCAGCTAAAATTAATCTCAAATATCATAGCACATTACCGGCTTCGCCACCCTGGCAGATGGTGAAACCACAGGTCGACCTTACCTTCACTAAACTCAAAAAGACTGAAACAAATCCTTTGGTGTTCCAGCAGGAACACAACCAGTTACGTTCCAAGTATGACACCCATAGATCCATTTTCACTGACGGATCCAATGATGAGGGCCAAGTTGCTAGTGCTACAGTCATTGGATTCAAGACTGTTTCTTCTAGGATTCCCGACAACAGTCCATTCTCACTGCCGAGGCCAAAGCTATCTTCTCAGCTTTGACCTACTTGAAACAGCAGAATCATTCCAAAAACTTCATCGTTTTTACAGATTCATTATCTTGCCTTCAAGCACTTCAAAACGTTACTTCAAGTCACCCAATCATTCTGGACATTTTAGAACTTTACAACGACCTTTCTAATGGCCATGAGACATCGTACTCTGCTGGTTGCCGGGTCACGTTGTCATAGCAGGTAGCACAAAAGCTGATGCTGCAGCTAAAGCAGCTCTTGACAAGCCCTTATCGCCACTGCTGATCCCGTACAGTGACTTCAAAATCACTATCAAAAGCTACACTCGGGACCTCATGCAAAAGAGGTGGGACACTCAAGTAGGAAGAAATAAACTGTACGAATTGAAGCCAACCATTGGTTACACCTACTTGGGTTGTCAGTCAAGACGTGATGAGGTAATTTTACGATGATGTCGTATTGGCCACAGTCGGTTTACACATGACTATCTGCTGAAAACGGATGGGGATGGACCCCCCATATGTGTCTCTTGCGATGAGGTTTTCACCATCAAGCATATTCTGCTTGACTGTGTAGACTTATGGTCTGCATGGGACTCACACTATGATGCAACAAATCTGAAAGATCTGTTCTCCCGCGTGAGCGCTCATCTGATAGTGAACTACCTGAGGGAAGTTGATCTGTATCATAAATTGTAACTGTGTAATGTCACTGACAAATTGTCTGCCTTTAAATTTGGTGCTATGCCTTTTCCTGTCTTTGAATGACAATGTAATGAATATATGTTTTTGAAATAAAATACATTTTGACTCTGTACCTGCAATGATCATTAATGCAGACTTGTTCTCGTCAGTATATGGCTGAATATAATGCCGATGTGACGTAAAGCCTAACTGAACTCAACTCAACCATACTAGTATTATAAGTTGTTCACTGGTCTCGATGGGGACATGGGTTGATGTACCCTCTATGTTTGTTCATGATGATAATAGAGAATACACCAACCCATGGGCCCCGAGGAACCAGCGAACAACGTATGTATTTTACCTAACTCCTCAATATTAAGTTTGAACTGTTTAAAGAGCGGGTATCCGATCATAATAAGGAGTACTAGAGTTAGGAAATTAGCCAATACTAGATTTTCAGATGACATAGAATGTAGGAGACGACAAGAAAAACCAATTTAGAGTTATCTCACTTCCATCGATTTGCATTCGCAAAACATCGGTTATTTCAGTACATCATACGTGACTCAATTATTCGTGATAAAGAATTACTAACACGAAGTACAAAATGAATTCCCGCAGTTCGGCAATCCTTAGCGGGTAACATAGAAAGTTTTACTCGCTTGTAAGCGTGGTACATTGAAAATAACAGAAGAGCGCTCAGCCAATCAGAAAACAACATTTATACGTGTGAGGAAAGATAATGTCTGTTGTACATGTAGATTTTCACTTTGTAACAATGTCCAAGTATAGTACATTGTATACACCAAACGCCAAAAAAATCCGTTACCCTCCTTCTTTAATGACGGAGGTACCTATCTTCAGCTGGCGTTGTGATGCGTGGACGTCCACTTCTTGGTCTGTCTACGGTGACCTAAGTAAGTCTGAAGCCCTGAATAAGTCTTATAACCGTGATACGGTGGCATCCGAGGGCGTTGGCAACAGCATTGTATGTCAACCTCATCTGTACCATCTCAGAGGCTCTTTATCTCTCTTCAGCTGTTAATCGTGGCATATTTCTCGTACTTGTGTATCATATCATGTATTCAAGGCTCTCTTCATACCTATAGAATCATTCTACATGTGAAATGGATGTAAATACTGCTTGAATATTGCTGCGATTTGGCGATTGATATTACTATGTGTAAACAGAAAATAGAAAATGGTACTTTGCAGCAAAACATTTAGCAAAGATAATTTTAGATGTTCCTAAAATTATTTTCACAATATAAAAAACACGTTTTACTTGTTTTCACTAATGCAAATCAGTAGAGAATGTTTTAAAAAGACTGAAATCATAGGAATGATTATTTTACAATTGTACACACTCTACAACAGTTGTTTCTTGTTTTAATAGTTAAAAATTGTGACTTTAAATGGTTTATCATTGTCCCAAAGCAGAATTATATTGCATTCTTTCTTTCGGACATCAAAATCTCTGTTATTCGTTTCTATCGGTATAGACGAATATAGGACAATTTAACTGTTCTGAAAAGATGCATTTTACCTAAATATGAATGCATTTGAGAATTTTCTTTCGTGATTTGCATAAAGCTGTTTTAATAAGCTTTCTTGTAAACTAATACCTTCTAACATATCTTTGATAGTTTTTCAGTAATTCATAAAGGTAGGAGGGTAACGTTTCTTTTGGCGTTTAGTGTATGTGGAAAAAAATGTGTCTTCAGTTTTGATTTGAATCCAGTGAGAGCTATATGAAGAAACCTCCAACATACAAGCCTCTAGTAAAATGTTGAAACAGCTGACTTGTGGATGACAAACTTGAGGCATCAGTCACAAAAAATTCGTGAATTCGAACCCGCACTCTTAGAGTAAGGCACCTTATCGCCAGCGCAAAAAGTCAGCGTCTTACAAAACCACTTTCCACACTTCCATTTTCGTGGAAGCTACGGTTGCTCAGTGGGGTAGCCGACTTTGTGCGCTGGCAGTTAGGTGCTGTACTCTGAGTGTGCGGTGGGGTAGCCTAGTGGTTAAAGCGTCCGTTTGTCACGCCGAAGACCCGAGTTCGATTCCCCACATGGGTACAATGTGTGAAGCCGATTTCTGGTGACCCCAGCCGTGATATTGCTGGAACATTGCTAAAAGCGGCGTAAAACCAAACTCACTCACTCTGAGTGTGCGGGTTTGAATCCCATATGGGACATGCAACCCACATCCAACATCCACACAGTCCCTCCACTCCAGTTACCATTAACAACAAAATAAAAGTACTAGAATCTGTACTTTAAAGTAAAAGTGTAATTGCAAAAGTAACATGTTATGAGTGAGATGGGGTATGCTGCCTCTAATAGATTGTAGGATGGGTGGACGGGCTAATGGGAAGACAATACATCATTTCTCAGATGGGTTGTTGTTTGACTTCCTTAGCTATTTGAGTTTTAGTCACAGACCAATGAGACTTTTATCTGTTCGAGAATCGTCAACTGATAAATATGTTCTCTGAGAGGCATTTAAGAGTTATAAAGATGAATGAAAACCAGGTTCGATGGATAGAACTTGGTTTCCTTGATAAATATATGCATTGTTTTGCGCTTACGCTAAATATACAAACTGATTGGTTAGCTACAAACCTTTCTGGACGATACAGTATACATGTAGGTGTTTTCAAGGCTTTTCTTCCACGCTTCAAAGTTGTAATTTCTTGTGGTTATCACGTCGTATTTGATGCTGTCTACGTCTTTGTGTTCTGCGTGAACGTGTTTGAGTAGGCGACTGTAAACCCCTTTTCCCCGGAATCCTTCCTTCACCCTACCGGCTCGTACAAGAAAGGTCAGTCCATCGTCGATAAGGTGAACGCTGCAGAAGCCTACCTGTGGACGAAGAAGGCATTTTAACTATAATGTAAACGTTGAGGAATCTGTAAATTACTTTGGAGTTTATGTACCATAAAGTGCCATATTAAACAGTCGTTCCCAAGTTTCAAACATACCACAATAACAGTGAACTTTACTGAACTGATGTTTTAACAACTACTTGATTGCAATTGTATGTCATAGACCAGTCTATACCTATCCAAACAAGAACAATGGCAGAATTTCAGTCAGTGGTGAGTTAACATTTTACATCGCATCGGCAATATTACAGCCATATAGCGATGAAAACAAGGTAATCATTTTAAAACATCTGTCGACAAAGGACAGTAAAACAAACCAGAATATCACAGTATCAAGAATTACAACTAGCATCTATCTCTAAAAAAGGATTTCAAATCAGGACAAAACAATATAAAAATGGGCTGAGTATCGCCAACAACTGAAGGTAGGTCACCATACCAGGAACCATGTGGACTTACAGTGCCTTTGCTACCTGCATGGGTTTTAAGTTTTGGGACTTACGTATCCTCTCAGGAGGACAATAATTTTACGATACTGTAACCCCTTCGAGGATACAGCCGCTAACAATCGCAGTTGCTAATTTATACTCCCATGTTTAATTTTTTTTTATCTATTTACAAATCATATCATTCTAAATTAATCTAATAATTCTATTTCCTTACAAATCCAATTATTAATTGACAATTAACATTATTAAAAAGATCCTTAACTGTTTTGACATTGAAATATTTATCCCTTGTGATGGGAAAATCAATACAGTCAAGCAGGACATGCTTGAGTATCCTCACCTTTCAATAGGTATTCGTGTGTATATATTTTCAAATATGGACTGACAACCAAAGTAGGTGTAACCAATATAGGGTTTTTATTTCATGTAATTTATTTATACCTACTTGGGTGTCCCACTTCTGCTGCATCAGATCACGGATATAAGTTCTAATGCTAGCTTTGTAATCGGAGTACAGAATAAGAAGTGGTGTCACAGATTTATTGAGTGCTGCCTCAGCAGCAAAATCGGCCATTGTCTTCCCAGAAATACCAACATGGCTGGGTAACCAGCAAAAGACGATGTCGTATTGGCCAGTAGCAAAGATCATTATAGAATTCAATAATTTCGATTATAATGGATCATCTTAAATTCTCAATAATTTCTGGTTGTACTGTATCTGCCAGGATAAGCAGCAACGCCACCAGTTCACAATTATCGTCATCACCATCTCCAAACTGCAAGATCAAAATGACAAACAAATCCTTAACAGCGAACTACCACACACGAATGGATCATCTAATCCATCTCAGTCCAGTAAATCCTTTTGAGGCTGATGAAACCTCTCTATAACTTCCTGAGTTACAGGATAATATGCACCACACCTGACCAGATTTATGATGCATACCCATTGGTGTAGGTAAATCTGCAGCTATTTCAGGTAAAAATGGACGTCGTTGTGTGTTTATAAATACCCCGGTAAGGGAAACATGTACTGATGTGCTGTGGTTAAGGTATTAGATGAGAATGGCAACGTAAAAAGGGCATCACATGTGCGACAGGTGCTCGTTTATAGTGGTTTGAATATGTTTGGTTACTCCAGTATTTTGGTGGCAGAACACGTTTTTGGCTGCATGTAGAAGGAGAATACGAGGTTTCATTTCCAAACGTCAGCGCAAAAGAATATCCAGTCTTGATTTGTAGGTGTGACCAGCTTAAATACTAAAACAACATGGACAAAGAACGTCTTGGCGGACACAAACTGAAGCACAGTTCCAACTGTCAAGTCTTACACAGAAATGACCCAACAGGAGTATCACAGATCATAACAGGTGCGCCAAATAACAACTGCCGGCAGTCAGGAACCAACTGTAAACTTTCATATATTTTTTCTCTTTCCCAAATATGGAATTTGTTTCTGAGGATAGACAAGACTAGGTATGAAGTTCGGTATTTGATATTTGGTCGTCAGGTGAACCTGACAGTATGCGTTTGGTCGATGTACCTGATTTCCTGTCAGGTGTGACAGCGGTTCAGCGAGAAACGTTCATTTCGATGTCGGCGTTTGTGAAGGAATCGTGATTCAACACTGCACCATACTCGCCGCCTCATTGAGTCCATGCCTGTTACGTGTGGCCCCATCAAGTGCGGGCGGTGGGATAGCCTTGTGGTTAATGTGTTCGCTCATCACGCCAAAGATGCGGGTTCGATTCCCCACATGGGTATAACGTGTGAAGCCCATTTGTGGTGTCCCCGCTGCAATATTGCTAAAAGCGGTATAATTGTGAACTCACTCACACACTTTTAGTCGATCCTTATATGGACAAAACTCCAGAATGTTTGGTAAGGCACATATCTTGCAGATTTGGCAGTAGCCTGTCCATGTCGAAGAAAGTCCCAGATGTAGCAATCATGGGTGCTGACTCAACCACTTCTAGGTCGGTATACCAATCCCATATTCGAACTATAATGTTCTTGTGTACGTTGAAATGTTGAGCAACTGCAGACTGGAACTTTATGTGGCGACATAGCGAATGACAACAATCAGTCTCAGCATTGTCCCACTTCGAAATAAGACTTATTACTTTGCAATATTTCAAATTAGCTGTAGGATACAAATATGTTACTAGTTTCTATTTTCCCCTAACGGACCGGTGTAAAAGACATACATTAATGTTCATTGCTTTGTCAAGTGACGTAAATTGTAACTCACCCACATTAGTTCTCGCTTATGGGGAATCACTATAGCTGTGCACGAAGCTTCATTTAGCAACAGATGGTTACAAAGGTGGGTTATCAAGTTACGTACTATCTGCTTTCCGATGATGTAGACGTACGACCTGACGTTACGGTCGTCCATGAAGCTGTGGTAACGATGGCGCAAGTAGTCAGCGCCCATGTACACGTCCCCGATGTCCATTACGCCGTCGAAGTCACCAACCGTGGCAAGCCTTATGTGATAGTCCGACATGACTTTCCTGTAAAGAGACATGAGTCAGCTAGAAAAAGAGTGAGTGAGTGAGTGAGTGAGTATGGTTTTACGTCGCTGAGTAGTATACACAATGGGGCTACGGGACCAGATCCCTCCCATTTAAAGAATTGAGCCCTTGGGAAGTCCCTAATCCCGTAACCCCAGTGTGTATACTACTACTGAGGTGCATGCAAAATTTGATGAAATTCGGTAAAATATTTTCTGAAATATTTACTTTTAAGTGAGCATGGGGTGGGTCGGGAAAAGGCAAAATGTCCAACTTTTTGTCGTAATTAAGTCTTAATTAATCTAATGAAGTCATCGAGAGTGTTCCCAATGCCGTTTTATTAAAGCGTAACCTGCGTGTAGGCGTTAACGTTCACCCGCACGTAAACGGAGCAAACTTGGTATTTGTGTTGTTTGGCCCAGTGGAGTTTGATCCCTTTCACGATTTCGACGACCTTACGCGACAACGGCGGGCCGCCGAGGTAGACTTGGATGTACAGCGTGGATTTGGCCGGCAGAAATGGCGCTGTCTCGTCTCCGTTGCTCATCCCATGCTCTCCTTGTTGAAACTGGCCGTTATACAAATATCAACCGAGAAAAAAGAATGTGCAAACTATACTGAACAGCAAAAGTAACGCAAGTCTGGCTTTTTAATAGAAGACAACCAAAATCATGTCTAATCATTTATTCTATAGAAAACACTGTCAATTTAACAGTTGAAAGTTGCTGTTCACATTGAATTGCAATAAGTTCAAATTGATCACAGTCCGTCAAATGGAGATACCCCTGAACGCGAAAAGTGACAGTCTCTTTAGTAGCGCGTATAGCCACCTCGCCTCATTGAGTTCACTAGAGTCTGAAAGACTGCCTGAGGCAACTGGTTCCGCTCAAACACCAATCTCTATTCCAACTGTGCAAGTGTGAGTGGCTGTCTACCTGCCCCAATCCTCCGTCCAATTTCGTTCCAGAATGTTCAAAGGGAGCCATATCCGGGAAAGAGACGGTCATTGAAAAATGTTAACGTTGTTCTGAGCCAGATGATCCATCAACACCCTTGCTGTGTGAGGGCTGCTGGCGTTGTTGACGTGTCAAACCTGGCCCCACATATGGCCGTCGGCAGTGGATTCCAGCTGATTTGGTGATGACGTTGAGCAAGTCGTGTAATGTGGTAAGATGACAGCCCAATTGCGTAGCTACAGCGGTTGCAGAGCTACCTCCGTGCAACTTTCCAATGACCACTCCCCTCTCCTCAGTCGTTAGTCTAGGCATCGTTTGTGTGGCGTGTACTCCTCCTAGCGTCAATACTGAACTGTGTTTTGACACAAGCCTTTATAAAGAATACCTCTGAGTGAAATGCATGCTTTCCATCCAGAACCGTCGACGCACGTGCTAAAATTATGGTTTTGCTGCACTGTTGGTGTGTTTGTGCGAATGGTTCGTATGGACGTCAAATTGCATGACATCATCTCATCTGGGATCATTACGTCACTTTACCATGAAAGTTCCATAAACATGAACGCTTACCTTCATGAAATTTCATTTTTTCGAAACTTGCGTTTCTTTTGCTGTTCAGTATATGTAACTTTAAATTGATTGAAGACAAATACCACTTTTTAATTGTTTTTATTTTCCATGATACTTACCACTCACAGAAATATATATTCCATCATGTTATTATAATTATCCGAACACTACTAAAGTTTCACTATTGTTAACAAATTCTTATGTGGAATTACAGCTGTGTGGGTTTCATCAAAATGCAAGAAAAAAAATACCTACCTGTTTACATTGGTGTCCAACCATTCCAAAGTTTATTAAAGCTTTTTATTTCTACATTGCAGTGGACGAACACGTGCCAAACCCACTGAGATGTTATAAATTTTAAAGATTTGGACATGGAGCTAAATCCCATCATGGAAAGAATACTGTTTACTTCGTTGCAGTGGCATTCGTGAGAGTTCCGATGGCACAAATGAATCTCTCATGCGCCATCTGTTGCGCGGCTTTTGCCGTCTTTTCCCTCAGACCATGCTAAGGTTCCGAATCGAATGGTCAACCCTCCAGTTTGTACTCACAGGAGTTGGTGTCCATCACGTTCACTGTCACCAGTTGAATCACCATGAACGGCTTTCACCATCTAATACTGTGGAACTGCAGAGGACTTCGGAACAATTCTAACGATTTGCAGTTATTATCACAAGAATTGAAGCCATCAGCATTTTGCTTGCAGGAAACATACTTAAAAAAGACAGATCAACTGAGAACTGGACAATATGTGTCTTATAATTTCTTTTCACCTCTCTCAATGCCTCTCTGCAAACTGTGGCGGTTCGGATCACCATGTACATTGTTTACTCGTTGTGCTCTCTCTACGTTCCTCCATCCTATTCTCTTCAGCAAAATGATCTTCAGACACTCTATGACCAGCTTTCAAAGCCTAATATTATAATGGAAGATCTGAACAATCATCTTTGGGGTAGCACTCATACCAGCAGTAGGGGAATATTCTGGAAGAATTCTGTTCGCCAATGATTTATGTGTTTTGAATGATGATTCTGAAACATATTTACACCCTGGTACCGGCACATAATCTTCTCTTGATTACAGACGCAAACCTGCTCAATGAGTTTGAATGGTTAGTCAGCCTGCGTTTGACCCTTCTAGGCAGTTTGCAGATGATCAACAGCAACCAACACGAGATGTCACTGATGTACCTGGGTCATTACCCGGTTCATGTTCAAACAGTTAGACACAAAGGCAAAGGCACGTACCACCTAGATGTGATAGGTGTGGATATCTTATCCATAATGCACGTCCTCATGTTCGATAGTATGGTGATCTACCTTTATTTATTGGCAAGCTATAGCCTGTTGTTATATTGTTGTTTTACTGTCCTTCGTTGACAGTTGGGTTTTTTCGGTAAATTACCTTTAATTATTATTAATCTATAACTTGATTTAGTCACGATATGGCTGAAATATGGCCAAAGTATCAATGACAATTAGTTCGAGTAGAGTCATTTGTTAAAAGATGCAATTGTCGATAACCAACATGCAGTGTCTGTCTTGTTTACTTAGAAATGACATTCGACACTACATTGAAAAATGGCATTTAAAAAGATTTACATGGCTTTGGATTCATATCAAGTTTTTAACAGAAAGGCAATTTCAAGTCCGCATGGATTCTACCAGTTCTGGTCATCATACTCAGGATCAGGGCGTCCCACAAAGCAGTAATTTATCTGTCACATTGTTCAGTATTATAATTACTAGTCTCTCTAAGGTTATAAATGACACTTTTGTGAATGTCGTGGGTTTTTTCATGTCGTGGAAAGAAATATTATGAATACTATCGAAAAGCAGTTATAATTTTGTCTAAATAGAATTCATAAATGGTCGTTAGAAAATGGATTTAAATATTCAAAGTGACAAACAAATTATATCCAAGTACAAACCTCACAGAGATTCAGTTTCAGATGGCACTCTATAAAAGTTGTAAAAGAGGCCAATTTTTTGGTATAATTTTTTTAATCACCACTTGACCTTTTAACCACAATATATATGCCTGAAGGTCTAGACTACTGAAAGTTATTTCCAATTCAAAGTTGGGAGGTGATCAAAAACCCTCCTCCAATTTTACAGAGCACTAATCCGTCTATTCTGGGTTCAATTTGTGTTCTATGTCTAGTTTTGGTGAAAATTGAGCTTGATGATACATAACCTTGAAAGTGGGTTTACGTTGTACACTAAGTGGTTTTTGGACCAATCAGCAAATCCAGTTTGATCACGTGACATGGAGATGGAACAATCTGGAAGTTATAATCATCATTATAGACATACAACTAGAAGATTGGAACATTGCCTCATTTATTATATATTTAATGGAATTCCTAAACTATGAAATTGAAACAAGTTAAAACAACAACAAATACAAGCTGGTACGGTAGACGTAATCATAAAATAATCGTACAATAATAATACAGCTGTATTTCTGACACAAAGAACACGCTATTTCTGAACAAAATTACAAACTAATCTAGCTCCTAGCGTTTGTTTTGATAATTTCTTATTTATTTCAGAAACTGTAACAAACTTTGGGCTATTTCTTTTTTATATAACACCTGTATGTGCAAAATTCCAAAGAATTTGATCAAATAGTTTTGAAAATATTGTTGTTCTAAACTTCAAGATCGATTTTCTCGAAAATAGTGTTTTTTGGACCTAGAACACTCTGGCTTTCAGGTGACGAATTTATCATCAGGGTCTAAGGCTTGTTCTGGGTGTCTTCGAACATCTCTCGTTAAAAGCACATATGTTGACGCTGCTAAGGCGTAACCCACTAAAACATCGGCGCATCAAATTGTCCTTTCAATATATGACTAAATTGTTTTCAAATCCATCTAATCCTGTCTTTGACTGTATGTGTAATTTAATCCTCTATATGATGATCTGTAGTTTTAGAAACAATCCATCATCCCTCCCCTTGGAATAAGACTAAAACCTGAAATGTCTACTGCAAAAATGGAACTCACTGTTTTCTCCTGCCAAAATTCTGTCCTCTCCTCCGTGGTAACAGGTAGATCTTTCATTAACAAAGCTAAAGATGTCAGATACAAATCAACTAATTTATCAGCAAGAGTATAACCAATTACGAAAATGTTATGATGTTTATAAAGCTATATTTACTGATGGATCCAAGGATGGTATCACAGTTGCTAGTGCTGCTGTCGTTGGATCACGGACCATATCTCCAAGATTACAAATAACTGCTCAATATTTACTGTCGAATGAAAAGCTCTATTAACAATGCTAACATATACTGAGTCAAAATAGAAACTTCACAATTCATATTTGTAAATGCAAATATGGGTATAGTAGACAGTTTTCAGGTACCATAACATTAATCCCCAAGTATACCAAAGCACATTTAAGTCAGTCCAAACATCGTGCACCCCACAGTAGTGCTAACACGTGTTTTTCACGTGCCACTGGACACGTGATCTTATCTTTGCATGTGCATTCGACCTCACTTGTTCCCAAGTGCAAAAACACTTTGAAGCACTATTCAGAACATCCAATTCTCACGCCGCGCCTCTCAAACGTGCACCGTGAAGTTGGCATGCTGGAAGCGGGAACGTCAGTAAGTGATGATGTGAACTTTGGATCACTTTTTGCCAGTTCTGCGTTATTGCGCTCTATTTTGTACTATGCAAGTCATTAGTGTTGAAGTGAACTAATGGCGTGGTGTAGAACAACCAAATATTCATCAGACAAACTCCGTTTAAGACGAATAAAGCTACGGAAGGACGCTAAAACGAGTCTGTGAAAGAGCTATATAAAGGTTGGTTGTTGCATTGTGCGACGGGCCTTTTCACATGAATGGATTTATACACATCTGTCTGCCATCATCAAGTTGTTCAACGTGCTTGCCTATTCAACTGCTGTCACTGTAAACAACCTTCAATCAGTATATCTGTTCTCACTGTGAATGTCAAGACTCTGGTGAGTTAATATCTTATATTTGTGACCCAATATGTTAGATTTGTGACTCAATTGCATTGTACTAGAAATATGTATTGTCATTCATTGTACCTTGCTCATTGTTTATATATTATTGAATATTTCGGACTTGCCCGTGTTCTATTTTGCTGGTTCAAAGGGGACTTTTAAACCTTTTGTCACGGCAAATTATTAACCGTAAAATATCAATATGACTTGGACGAAAGATAATCGAGGGATCTGTCAGAAACTGTTTGTACGATAGTTTGTATATGTAATCCCTTTTTAATTGCGATTAGCATGCACAACCTCGGTAGATTCAGTTGCTACGTATATCTTAAGCTTAGGTTCTAGTCCCTGTTTCACAGCTGATGTTATGAGCGACTATGGTGGTTCAGTGGCATACCTTCATTTAGCTGCAGATTGCACAATGACACCCATTATATTCTGTTCATGACACCAACACAGTCTTTTATCCTATATGAATTTTTGATAAAAATATGTCCCAAGAAAGTCTACAATACTCTGGCAAACCTAGACTTCTAACATTTGAAAATGGCATTTATATTTTATATATATTTCACGAAAATATTTCATCTTAGTGATTAAAATGCCTTTTGATCCATACATGAGAACCACATGTTCAAATCTTTGTATATCAGGGTTCCAATGTTAAGCAATGGAAGTACTATCACGAAACGGCACAGCCTTTTCTTTTCACTATACTGATTCTGAAGTTCATATGATTATAACCCCATGCGTGGTACGACGGCTGCTTGAAAAATGCCAATCCCCATCTGGATGACCTCACGCCAGTGTAGGCGTATTTAGTAATTATTAGTTGTCCACCCATCAACTCTTGCGCTGTTTCCGGTCGCCATCTTTTTCTTGTCTCGTGTTGACACAGTATGTGTGTTTTTCCTTCGACAATAAACAGTCAAGATACCGACACTGGTTTGTGCCTCAACCTGGCGTTAATGGCAACGGTTGCATACAACGGTAACTGTGAAATGTGAACTGTGGACACCTAACAAAGAAGCAGCCATTTGAAAGACGCACTGGTATGAGTATGGTTTGTACCATTCCCCATGACGTCAGTGTGTTAAACCACGGTGTTTTGACGTGTATGTTGCGGTTGGAACCAAGCGGCGACCGCAGTTTTCATTCATTGTCACAAACTGCTTGTAGGTAACGTTGATTAACGTCAGGCACTCGTCTTCGTCTAACCATGTGCTTCGTCACATACATATTTATGAAGGAATAAGAAATGGGTTTTAGTTTAGTGTCTCTATATAAAAGCACACATAGAGACCTCACTAGAATAACGATGCTATAAGCATCAGGGCGACCACTGATTTAGTCTAGAGATAATCAGTACACAGCAATCAATACATAATATCATAGCCAATACGTAGCAAGCTGTTCCACATCGTTTATCAGGGGACTGTTTTCGGGTGAAATTATGAACACTTGATGACTGATATCATCTTATCAAACGGACGGCATTTATAGTCAGCGTTTTACTTTGATATGTATGTAAACCTATGTTATATGTCGTATCCAATATGCGCACGCAGCTTGCTTTATAATTAATCTCATTGAAATAAGCTTATTTATGAAATCATGTCATACTGTCTAGTCATTTACCTTTATCTTTCAATCCTGATTTGTGTGTGTGCACTCTCTATCCGTTGGACACATTCAGATCCTCTCTGAAGACACCTGAGTGTTGAAGCTTTGAATCAAACACATAGAGTAATGTTTGTGTCGCATTTCATGTTCATAAATGTTGCATCGTAATAAATAGGATCGCCACATGCGCAATAGTCACCGAAAGATACTGAAATAGAGCGTCTTACTGTACGTCTAGGTCCATTATTATAATAAGCTACATGGTTGGTTGGACATGACATCATAAAAAGGCCATGAACATTGATATAATTACATAATTTGCTTTCTCATGACTATAATTAGAAAAATAAATGTATTTCTCATGTTCAGCAATTAACAAAAGCATAACCGCTCCACCGATAATATTCAAAACACTAAATACTGAACGGATCGCCAGCAACCAATGAACTCTCATGAATTAATTACAAACAAATATCTGATGAATAGGGGTGCTCAAGGAAAGTCGAGGTCACCTCGCCCCACTGACGGCACACACAACAAACTCATTCAGTGTCTATTGCAGCAGGCCAATTAGTTACCCGAAAAGATATTCACAGGTACACTTGGTACAATTCAAAAAGGGGAATTGTGTGGGACATCTTGTTTGTAATTCTGATCTGGAAATGGAGTCAACAAGCCCAAATGAAACCTATGAAATCCCCACCAGGTCTCGAATGCTCACAGCCCAATCAAACAACCTCCGAGGAGGATTTCCAGAATCATAAGTCATTATGAAAAATTACGATGACGTAATACATACTAGTTTTGGAGTAAATCGTATTTATCCTTATGAATCGTCTCATGACATTTATTGCTAGATCCCGATAAGTCTGTTTAAATGTGAATCGGGGACAATTGCCCTCTACTAATTGTGATCCAGTTTGGGGAAACGATTGAAAAGTCACCTGTGATATTAGTATCGCGAGGTACGGCTTACCCATTCACTTTTAACAAAAATATCCTTCTTTTAAGAATATATGCAGTTCAACCAGATGTGTTCAACCATTCATTTGTGGATTTCGGGTTCTTCAATCTCAGACAGTTCTTCTGTAGAAACTAGAGAAAATCACCAAACGAAATTATAGGTGTATTAAAATGTTCAATTAAATATGAGGGTCGTTTGCACGCTTATAAATTGTGTTGTAATATCACTTAACCTTTAAGAAAGCTTGAGGAGGATCTGCCGGATGTAGCTGTCTTCGGCCCTGTCCTGTTTGCTGGTGTATCAAGTTGTTGATGATGGCCTGGCTGCAGTTGTAGGTTTTTGCCAGCTGTGAAGCCCCCATATCGACCACACCGCTCGCCCTGTCTCTTTGTGCTTGCGTTAGTCTTGGCATATTCGTGGTTGGTTTTTTTTTGGGGGGGGTTCTTTGGGGAGTTATCCAGCATCAGTATGTATGCCATAATCATGCACGGGCATTAGACCTATGCACCATAATTCCGTTTTTCACATTTTGAAAAATGCACGATTGGTAGGAAGTTTTCAGACTGCTGCGTTGTAATGGAACCGTGTTGCGTTTTGGCGAATGTTGATTGCCCGGGTTCAAACCTTACCAACGTTGTTGTTCTGTGTACATTTACTTTAAAAGAGATAACTTTCTTTTGTCAGAGAGTTTAGATGGAATATCAGCTCTTCGTGTATTTCCTCTCATTAATTTCAGAAACCCCAAGTCAAATGTGGTGCATATTCCGTCTTTAGGTCTTAAAATGTAATGAACCATTCACATCTAATCAACGTAAACACATGTTTTCTTTCGAGGGTACGGTTGGACATATATTGCTTTATGGCATGACGTCATAGTTAACTATTGTCCAAGTAGTCTATCGATGCTCATTGATTCTTAACCTAAATTCTGTTGCGTGTACATTAACTTGGAAATATACACAATTACAAATGCACTTTACGATCGATTTTCTCGAAAATAGTTTTTTGGGACCTAGAACACTCTGGTTTTCAGGTGACGAATGTATCATCAAGGTCTAAGGCTTGTCCTGAGTGTCTTCGAACATCTCTCGCTAATAGCACATATGTTGACGCTGCTAAGGCATACCTAAAACATCGGCGCACGCATCAAATTGTCCTTTCAATATATGACTAAATTGTTTTCAAATCCATCTAATCCTGTCTTTGACTGTATGTGTAATTTAATCCTCTATATGATGATCTTTAGTTTTAGAAACAATCCATCATCCCTCCCCTTGGAATAAAGACTAAAACCTGAAATGTCTACTGCAAAAATGGAACTCACTGTTTTCTCCTGCCAAAATTCTGTCATCTCCTCCGTGGCAACAGGTAGATCTTTCATTAACAAAGCTAAAGATGTCAGATACAAATCAACTAATTTATCAGCAAGTGTATAACCAATTACGAAAATGTTATGATGTTTATAAAGCTATATTTACTGATGGATCCAAGGATGGTATCACAGTTGCTAGCGCTGCTGTCGTTGGATCACGGACCATATCTCCAAGATTTACAATAACTGCTCAATATTTACTGTAGAATGAAATGCTCTATTAACAATGCTAACATATACTGAGTCAAAATAGAAACTTCACAATTCATGTTTGTAAATACAAATATGGGTATAGTAGACAGTTTTCAGGTACCATAACATTAATCCCCGAGTATACCAAAGCACATTTAAGTCAGTCCAAACATCGTGCATCCCACAGTAGTGCTAACACGTGTTTTTCACGTGCCACTGGACACGTGATCTTATCTTTGCATGTGCATTCGACCTCACTTGTTCCCATCAACTGTACAAAGTGAAAAAATACTTTAAAGCACTATTCAGAACAGCCAATTCTCACGCCGTGCCTCTCAAACGTGCACCGTGAAGTTGGCATGCACAAGTGTCAAATCAGACCTACCGGTACAATCAGAATTGACACACTGACACTCGTGTCTGGGTAATTAAATGACAAATGACATAAAGCCAAATCATCAGTCAATGTAAACTGAATGTATTAAGACAGGAGAGACCAATTATATCATAGTGAACAGAAAAGTACATATTACAAGTGGGGTATGCAAGTGCAATATATATTGTGTAGTAGTATATTTATTTTAATTTTTACAAGGATTTAGCATTGTTAAGTAACTTGCATTGTGAATCAGTCCGTCATTAACCTGCAAGAACAAAATATGCTGTTGAAATACAAGCTCCGAAATCATTTGACATACAAACACAAGAATGAATTCTACGCATATGTTTTCCTAACTTGGAAACTCGAAGGGCCCTCGTTACAGAACAGGCCTCCGCCTCTGTGTACATGTACTTTAACATACACTCGTCAAAAAAAGAAACGCAAAATGAAATTTGAAAATAATGATCGAAAGTTTGTGCGTATATGTCAAATTAAGAATGTTTTGAGGGTTGAATATTGTTGTTGGTATGGTTTAGAAGAACATGCCAAAACAACCATAACGCATCGCGTTATAAAATGCGCCACCCTAGTTATCTCGGACCTCGGGGACACACGAGGATTCGACGAACCCAGAGCCGAAGGCAAGCTGTACTCCTTGCAACTGGAAAACAATGTCTACAAACGCACCGAAGTGCCCAGCGGTGGCGACGGTTGCGCCAGCAACCTAAGAGATTTGGACGATGTAGAGACCGGGGGACCCATAAACAACACTCCATACAATCTCGATCGAAACGACAACGACAAATGGGTGATGGTCACGGCATTCGATGTCGAGACACAGGGTACCTCCGAAAACACCTTGTACCATCTCGTACGCACCGATGATAACCAATGGAGAATGATCTCGCCTAAAATCGACTGGCTACTCGATATCAACGTCGTCTAGGATCATTACGTGACGATCATCAACGTCGTTTAAGGATCATTACGTGAGCGTGCTCGTGAGGGTCGTCCCGAGAAAAGCAGACCACATGCTATCAAGTCGATCGAACCTCCAAAACGGCACGAGTTTGCAGCTGGTGACCGGATTCAACGAATCATTGAACATGTTACAAGGGATTCCATCGACCAAGACGCTATGCATCAAGGTATTTCTCGGAGAGCCCCCGGCATCCGGTGATGACATTGAAATCGTGACGAGAGTTGGAGAAGGATATTTCGCTCAACAAAATTTTCTTACCCACGAATATACATCTCATGAGCTTGAAGTTCACGCACGAAACACTTTCCGAAAACCAATTGAAAACTATTTCGTAATTAATATGTATAATGATGGGTGAACATTGCATCATGAAATGCGCCGCACTAGCGCTCTCCGATCTCGGGGACACGCGAGAATTTTATCAACCCGGCACGGAAAATGCCTTGTACGCATTTCACTTGCAAAATCATGTTTACAAACGACAAGAAGTGACACCCGAATTGAACTGGATAATCAATATTACCATCACCCACACATACGTTGTCACAGATGATGAGGGGTATGTCACCAAAATAAAAAAACAGTGGGCTTCTACTCGGTACTTTAGTAACTAAAAAAAAGAAGACAGCGTTCCTAAATGCAACATATGTAGGCGAAAAGAGCAAAATGTTAGTCACCCATCCGGAAAACACACTTAAACTCCATTTAAGTCCCAATAAATGGGTAAATGTTATACAAGTTTCTACACTTATTATTGAAATCTATCTTTATCGTCCCCCGCAGAAGATGTTAAAATTCTGGATGGATTAAAAATACGTTGGATTCATAACAATGCATGGCTACGTTGCCATATTTATGTGTGACCAGGAACACCTACCTTCACAAGCCGCAAGGGGATCAGGGTTTTTCAAGATTTATCGGTTCCCCTTCTTTCACTAAAGATTTTATTTTTATCCGAACATATGGGCCTTATGAGCGTAAAGTATACGCCCGAGAAATTGACGGAAAACCAATTAAATATTATTTCATAACTGATATCAATACACAAAGACGGGATTTATCCCGCCATGGACGAAGTAGCCAAAACACTTGAGATCAGGGTTCTGGCCGAAGCCAAGTTGAACACGATCGATGATCTCGTACCAACGGCGCTCACCGACAGCAAGATCACGGAGGAAGAGTTCCGTCTGATCTTGGGAGAACTCGCCAAGTACCACAGCATGAAACGAGATTCGAACCAAGGTCCGGAAGACGAGCGACATCGGCGAAGATGAGAAAAAGCTCATAGAACAGGGCAGGCAACAGGCCCGGCAAGTGTTCCTTTCCCAAACCAAAAGATCATAGGAGATGATTCCTCGACATCAATGTAAATCCGTAAAATAATCCGATGGTTTCAGGGTGTTCAGCAAAACCTTTAAAGTGATCGAAACGATTTTGCATGGACGGAGAATGATGGAACGCCATCATTCACACCTAATTTTTAACTCCCGCAGGGGACGGAGTTTGACAAAAATAACACTTATAGGGGACCTGAGCCCGTGTCACCAAACCCTATACTACTTGATGAGCTTGACTATTATGGAACACAACCAAAAGCCGCAATTATTGCTTTTCACGTGCAAAGCAAGTTTACAACCTATGACTATAAAAGACCCAAATGCATCTGGCAAATTCATCCAAGACCCTTGCAAATACTGGTTGAGAAAATTGGATGTCTCAACGGTGCCTACCGAAATATTGCCATTGGAGATTACAAGCTGGCGAATGCACAATAACTCGTTTGTGGGATCGTTTTGTGCGTTCCAATTCAACAAATGACCAACAAGACCAGGAAGACCGCGAGTCACCACACCAGCCCAAGATCGCTACAACCGGGTAACCCACCTACGTGACTACCATCGTTCCGCCGGGACACAGCACAAGAACGATTTTGGAGCCCGGGGAATGTCCGACCAGACAACCAGGAACCGTCTCCGAGAGGCAGGTATGTGTGCCAGACGTCCAAATGTTGCCCCCTCTCTGACACGATTTCATCAACGTCCGCGAGTCAGATAGTGGAGGCACATATAGTTATAGTTCAGTGATGAATCGCGGTATCACTGTACAACTCTAAAGCGACCTGACAGAAGATCGCGTATCACCTCAAGCGTCTGACGGAGACCACGCAATGAACGTTTTGCACCCAACTGCATCAGGCAGGTGGACAGATTTGGTAGAGACGGTGTCATGGTGTGGGGAACCATCTCATACACCTGCAGATCGGAACTGGTGCTCGTCCAAAGCAATCTAACGGCCGCTCGAAATAACGACCAGATTCTCTGTCCTCACGTGCATCGCCTTGTCGACCGCCAGAGGGAGCTGTTCCAACATGATAACGCCAGACCTCACACAGCACGTGCTACATTGGACTACCTGGCCAATAACAACATCAATGTCCTCTTCTGGCCCTTCCGATGCCCGGATCTGAAACCTGTGGATCAGATCAATAAACGAGTACGTCAACGTCGTTATCCGCCATTGCCCCTTTAACAGTTGTTCAACATGCTGCAGGGGGAATGGAGTAGGATTCCACAACGAAACATCCAACAACTGATTCGATCTGTGTCAACGAAGTTTCGTGCAGTCTTAGCAGTACGAGGTGGTCATACAAGGTAGTAACGTCAACGCCACCTCATGGACAATATATTGATGACTGTCATTCTTGTGAAATGTGCACGCACGAGATACCAATGTATTGCTGTACACAATTTTATTTTCGTTGATTTACATATAATTGAGTGAGTGAGTGAGTGAGTTTAGTTTTACGCCGAACTCAGCAATATTCCAGCTATATGGCGGCGGTCTGTAAATATAATCGAATCTGGACTAGACAATCTAGTGATCAACAACATGAGCATCGATCTGCGCAATTGGGAACCGATGACATGTGTCAACCAAGTCAGCGAGCCTGACCACCCGATCCCGTTAGTCGCCTCTTACGACAAGCATGGGTTTTGCTTTTGCGTTTTTTTTTTTTTTTTTTTGGAAGAGTTACTGTCTTCAACATCTAATTTTTTGCCCAGGGAACCCAAGAAGTGAAATCCATCTTCTGAGTAAAGATGCTAACACATATATACACACACATCTGCAACAAACCCTGCATTATTACATACTAATTATGCATACATATATATCATGGCCACCATTGGCAGCAATTACTGTTAGGCACCGGTGTTGGAGCTCTCGATGCACAGAATGACACTGGATAAGTCGACGAAGTCACTCTTGTGGAATTCTTCCCCATTCTTCCTACAATGCGATGGCCAGTTGTGGAAGTGCCTGAGGCGTGTCTTGACGTTGACGTAAACGTCGATCGAGTTCATCCCATAGATGTTCTATCGGGTTTAGTTCTGGTGATCGGGAAGGCCATGGCAAAACATTGACGATAGAATTGGCAGGGTAGTGGACTGTAACGCGTGCTGTATGTGCTGTAAGTAGCGTTGTTATGTTGGAACAACTCCCTCTGTTGGTTCATGGTCGGAAACATGAGACGTCCAAGGACTTCGTTGATTACCGATTTGCTGTCAAATTCCCCTGAACCTACACTAAATCAGATCTTTGTGTGCTGGATATCGCACCTCACACCATGACACTTTCTCCACCGAATCTGTGGACCTGTCGAATGCAATTAGGGGTAAACACGCTTTCTTCTATCTCGCCGTTGAAGAAGAAATCGCGATTCATCACTGAACCAGACTCGCCTCCAGTCTTTAAGGTTCCAGTTCCGGACTCAACGACACCACAGCAAGTGATTACGCCAATGGAAGGCTCTCGAATCAATTCCTGACAGTTTGGTAGGAAATTCTTCTCAAACCAGGGATGTGTTGTGAAGTTTTCACGGCTGTGGCAAGATGATGACGCAAGTGAGCAACCCGAATGTAGCGGTCCTGGGCGTGGATGGTAACTATTGAACGGCCGCTTCTCGGGCGAAATTGGTCTGCAGGAAGTGATCCCAAAGGCAAAATATGTGCTGATGAATGCTGAGATGTCGGGAAACTGCAGACTGCAACTCCCCAGCTTCAAGGCGGCCAATTACCACGTCTCGATTGGCGGCACTTTGTCGTGGCATGATGATTTTCTCTTTTCCAGGCAAAAACGAATTGACAAAATTAAACAAAACGTTTGCCTTTTTATAATGATCGATACCGCATGCTTCCCGCTTACTTGCGCGTGCATTTTGCTTTGTTTTTTTTTTGGTGACGTTTTGGCTAATATTTCTTCAAAGTCTAACGGAAAAAGTTAGAATTGCCACGATTTGGCGCTGAAGCTGTTTACAATCACACAACGATGACGTTTTGGAAAGAAATAGTGATTGAGTGAGTTTAGTTTTACGCCGCTTTTAGCAATATTCCAGCAATATCACGGCGGGGGACACCAGAAATGGGCTTCACACATTGCACCCATGTGGGGAATTGAACCCGGGCCTTCAACAGCCGCCCCGGAAAGAAACAGAATATTTGTATTGTTTTTACCGTAGCTACATGAGGCCAATATTCTCAGAATCATCTGTGCGTTTCTATTTTTGAAGAGTGTATAATCGGATTACGAAGAATTAGTCAAGCTATAGACTCTATTAGAACCCTATCAGCTTGTAATTACTACCAAATCCATCCTGCTAACTGGTTTCATGGCCCGTGCTATTTATTGTTGTTGTTGACTCATGCTTCTAGAAAGCAGATCAAACCATTAGCGGACAGATAACGATTACTTTTTCCCTCTTGTGAGCCACCATATAGCTGGAATGTTGCTGAGTGCGGCGTTAAACTAAACTCACTCATTCACTCCATCTTGTGAAACAATAACATTGATAAGTAAAATATAAATGCAGAAAGAAAGACCACCGACGATTTATTTGTCGGTTGTGTGCCACCGGTGTTAGGGGTATGTCAAGCGTAAAACTGGCTACTGTCTTGGTGATATCAATACACTCTGATTACATGAGGGGTTTATTTGCGCCCAAACTATCATAAAATCTCTAACTCAATCTGGCAATTTAATTGCTTTGGAAATTACGTTCGTATCACAAAACCTGATATGTTTGCGACACCTTTACAACTTGTACATTGTACATTTTGCAAACATATATGTAGCACATCCAAAAGTGTATGATCGTACATTTCAAAGTTCATTTCCAAATACAAGTTCATTTCAATCCAGAGGCATTTCAATCCGGCATCCTTACTCCCTCCCTGTGTATCCGCGTGCTAACTGGTTCATTTTACTGCAAGAACACACCTGTCCCCGTTCCTGCTGTTGATCCGGCGTTTTCCTCTTGTTTCACAGTAATGGGATTTCCTAGTGGACAGACATAACGATAAAGATCTTTAATAGATCTTTGGTCTTGTCTGTTACATTGGACACATTTACTTCAGGAATTTATTACGTCATCCCCAGAGATTTGTTATTCTGCGAAGCGAACGTAAAAGATAAACAAACAGTGGGTGAGGTGGGGTGAAATTGGGTTTAACGTCGTGCTTGAGAATATTTCGCCCATATGACGACATGCATGCGTGTGTATGTGTATGTGCGGCTGCTTGTACTAGCTCAGACTTAAGCTGGTTTTATAGTGCTAGCCCACTGAGATATCATGCCGCAGTGAAGCATGAATACCCCACTCAGACACATTATACTGACTCCGAGCCGACCAGTCCTTGTTGTACCCATTAATGCCGAGCGCCAGGCAGGAACCAACAAGTACCATATTTTAACGTCTTTAGGTATGACGCGGTCGGGGATCGAACCCGCGACCTTCCGCTCTCCGGGCGGACGCTCTAACCACTACACCACGGAACATAAACCAACAGTGAAGATTATCTGACTGTATTACTGGCTATCAGTTGCTGAACGCACTCAACAATATTCCAGCTATATGGTGGCGCTCTGTAAATATTAAGTCTGGACCAAACAATCCAGTGATCATCACCCATTTAAACAATTTCCATAACAAAGTATATTTCTATCTTAATAAAGTCAGCCGCCTAACCCGCCTTATTAAGAAAGTGTAATGCCAAATATAACATATGTTACATTTGATCACTTTCTAAAATGGCATTGTGTAATTATACCTTTCGGCCGTGGGTGCCAATTTACACTTATCAGAGGGGTACAAAAGTCCCCAGTCTAGACTACCAGTTGTCCGACTTCCATTTTTGTGGTAGTCGTGGTGGCTGAGCCAGTTAGGCGACTTTTGGTGTTGGCGTTTATGCGCCTGACACCGAGGGTGTGGGTTCGAATCCCGGATGGGACTCAGCCCCAAAAGTACTAGAATCTGTACTTTATTAAGAAAGTGTAATCCCAAATATATCATATGTTACAAAAGTATATTTGTTGCCCGCCGCCGCAGTGGTTCTCATGCCATGTGACGGCGACATTTGAACAAACTGGAGTGGAGTGAGTTAAAATTGAGAGTCATATAAGCAGTATTTCAGCCATGCCGTGACTACAAAAGTATTTCATATACAGTAAATACATGTTGTTGAACAAACTAGACAATAGATGGATGGACCAATAATCCTGTTACAAGATGGCGCATTTATTGATGTTTAAAGAAACCAGGTATGAATTGCTCTCTTTTGGCGTTTAAATGACCTGCCTTTGTTACACAGATTGTCTAGTAAAGTGATCCTAAATTTTAGATCCTTTCTTTTCAGTCATAAAATGAACGTTTCTCACCAGATTTGTTTGGAGCAGACATACATTGGTGTCGGTTGTGGCATTCCATTAAATGCCCTGCCTTTGTTCAACGACATTGGGTAAGCGCCAACATTCTCCACAAACAACCGGTCCCCGATTTCAAGCTCTGGTAAATGACACTCCCTGAAAAGACAGTCGTCACCTCCACACGTCTGTCCCCAGACACTGCACTTGAAAGTCACCTCACTCAGTGGAGTCTGGAACACGAATACTTGTTTTTCTATGGAAGGAGCATGTGCAGCAACATGTATGTGCGTGTGTGGAAGTCGGGGGTTGGGGGTGGAGGGTGTTCTTCTTTGCAGTGTAAATACAATATGTATCAGGTAAGGAGCTCCACCACCGTGCCAAATTTGCAGCTACGTTCAAGGTGTTACTTGTGTCACAGGGCATGGTATGTGAATGGACCGCTATCGCCTCTGAGGATCTGCAAACATCAGTAATTCGTCTCATCTTCTTCAAGTGATAAATCAGCTACGGTAATTAAAATCTTACCTTTAGCAACGACGGTTGTTTCGCTTCAGTGCATTTCCGAAAGGAGGTGTTGAAAGTACCAAACACAGTGTCATTCAGAAAGTAAAGGAATTCTTCCTCAACACCATCTGAAGATGACAGAGAGTGAGTGAGTGACTCCTCAGTGAGTTATGATTTACAGTCACATCGGCAATATTTCAGTCATATCGTGACTAAGTCAAGTTTAAAATTCACCATAAATATATGTAAATTATAAAAAGCCTGTCAACGAAGGACAGTAAAACAACTAGAATATGACAGGTATGAAGATAATACTAGTATGTAAATCTAAAATACGTTAGCTACAGAAGACAATAAAATATAAAAACAGGCTATTGATTGCCAACAGCTGAAGGTTAATCGCCATACTAGGGGACATACAGTACATTTGCTTCCTGCATGGAGAAGATCACAATGATGTTACTCAACCTCTTTTTGAATGAGTCAGATTTTCTCAAATGATGCATATTTGGGGCGTTTACCACGTCAAATAACAGAGCTCGGGGGAAGACAAGACTCAGATACACGGTCATTGGCTTCTGTCATTCCCTAAGGGTCCTATGTTATATACTGTGAATTGTGGCAAACCTTATAGATAACGACTGTGTTACTTCCTTATTGTGTGAGTGCGACGTGAGACCGTTTTCAGTAAGGAGGGTTATCCATTATTTTAAGTGTGTCTCTATTGCACTTCTAAAATGCCAAGCAAAAAACATACCTTAGCCTATTGTGTCAACCGTGGCCCATATAGTGAGTGAGTGAGTAAGTGAGTTAATATTTATCGTCGCATCGACAATATCTCAGCCATATCGTGACGAAAACAATTTATTCAATAAAATAATCAAAATATTTTGAAGAGTAAAACCTGTCGACGATGGACAGTACAAATACCAGAGCAGCACAGATATGAATATAAAACTAGCATGTAAAACTACAACTCCTTAATTAAAGAAGACAATACAATATAAAACAGGGGCTATAGATCGCCAACAACTGAAGGTAGATCACCATACTAGGAGCCATGGGGACTTACATTGCTTTTGCTACCTGCATGGACCCTAGCTGGATTTACACCATCCCTTTATACTAGCAAACTACACAAGTTTGAAGAATGATGTTAGATGATAAATAGAATCTCGCCCTTGTATGTTTTGATATCACATATCAAAGAGTCGGCTGTTGGCCAAACAAAACCACGTGATCATCTGTTGTCAAACAGATGTGACAATCTCTCATGAAGAAATTGAAATATCTCATGAACGAATGAAAATCCAAGTACAATATTGAGACCTATGGATACATAAAAAACTACTGAACATTCGTAGCGACATGGGTATATCTATAATGCAATGGAGACAGCCCATCAGAACATTTTGTCAGGGAGCACGGCGAAGGACGTGGCAAGTTATAACGATATCGCGTTGTGCTAGTAACTTTTACATTACTGATGTAAGAAGGACAATTTAGAAGGACAATTAAGATATGAAGAAGTATTAATCTTTTTGGTCCATATATTCACGAGTATCTTATAAGATCATTAAATTTAGCTTACGAGAAAGGAGAATTGTCTTTGACTCAAAAGCAAGGCATTATAACCTGTTGTCCAAAAAAAGGTAAATCCATTCATTGCTGAATGTAGCGTATAAAATCGGATTATCAACCATTGCAAACAGAACAAAACAGTCCTACCCTCTATAATAAATGAGGATCAAAAAGGGTTTATGACAAAAGGATATATTGGTGAATGTACTCGCCTAATATACGACATCATTGACTATACTGAATATATACTCTCCCCAAAAAAGAAACGCATATAGGAATTTCAACTGTATTATTATGTTTATTTTGAAACATCTTGTAGGCTTTATGAGTCAATGAAATATAGCGAAATTGCACACTGGGAATGCAGACTTATCCGTCTTTGGCACCAACGCGAGGAAAGTCAGTTTGAGTGTCACATGGAGGTGTGGTGGCGCTGAAGTCAATACCTCGTGTGACCATGGTGGGCATCCAGAACTGCACGGCATCGCCTCGGCATCGAACGAATAAGTCTCAGAATCTCGTGTTGCCCATTCGCAGCCAACTCTGCCTGTAGTGCCTGTGCGAGTTGCTGAAGTGTCTGGGGCTGAGGGTTACGGCGTCGCACCCGTCTGTCCAGGGCATCCCACAGATGTTCGATCGGGTTTGAGTCCGGTGATCTTGAGGGCCAGGGGAGCACATTGATGTTGTGGTTCTGGAGGAAGTCTCTAGTGTGACGTGCTGTGTGGGGCCTGGCATTGTCCTGTTGAAACAACTCCCTCTGGCGATCAATGATTGGAAAGAGGTGTGGGCGTAGGATTTCGTCACAGTACCGTTGAGCTGTCAGGTTGCCCTGGATCATCACCAAATCACTTCTCCTACGGCAGGTGATCGCTCCCCACATCATACCACTCCCCGGCCGAATCTGTCCACCTGGGGAACGCAAGCGTCGGCGAAACGTTCACGTCGACGTCTGTACACCCGCATTCTTCCATCGCGTCGTTCCAATAGAAATCGTGATTCATCACTGAACCAGATTCTACGCCAATTCGGTAGGTTCCAGGCCTGAACGTTGGTGCACCATTGAACTCGATGTCGACGATGTTGTTGTCGAAGCACAGGGCCAAAATAAGGTCTTTTGGCACGTAAACGAGCCTCTCTCAACATGTTCCTGACGGTCTGTGCAGACAGCCTCCTCAATCCGGGTATTTGTCGAGCGGTACTGGTCGCCGTAGCTGTTCGATGACGCAGGTGATGTACCCGGATGTAGCGATCCTACGCCGCAGTGGTCGCTCGAGGTCGCCCACTACGAGGGGCATCTGCTACCGAATTCTGCCGGCCATATCTCTCCCAGAGCCGTCAAATGGTGCTTTGGTGAACATTCATGCGTCGGGCAACTGCACGTTGAGACTGTCCAGCTTCAAGCAAACCAATGGCGATATGACGGTTGGCTTCACTTAGACGTGGCATTTTGCGTTCGTCAACAATATTCCAAATACAGTGAATAATCGACAGACAGCGATCAACCTTTTATACCCATCATTGAGACTATCTGATCCCCAACTTTCACGTGCATTGCATGTGAATTCTGTATTCTGTGACACTACAGGCCGAAATTGAAAATCATGCTGTTAAATACGGGATATTTTACGGATGGTGCGTTTTGTTGTGATGTTTCAAAACATAAACACCATAGGGCGCATAAACAGAGCAAAACCTTTTGTAAAATAAATCACGTTTTAATTCATTGCTACATGAAATCGCTATTTTCATGATGCGTTTCTTTTTTGGGAAAGTATATGAATATACCAGGAATATTCTTTAACTTTGGACCATCGATTACAAGATGGATAAATACCTTCTTTAATAACATTCAATCATGTGTAGTTGTAAATGGCTTCCTTTCAAATTATTTCAATATCTCAACAGGATGCAGACAAGGAGATCCCATCTCCCCTTATATTTTTATACTGTGCGCAGAAATTTTGGCAACAATGATTAGATATAATACAAAATAAAAGCAATACAAATTGGAGATACAGAATACCTAATTTTCCCAATACGCTGATGATACTTCATTTATACTAAATGGCACTGAAAAATGTTTACAGGCGACATTAGAAATTCTTAGTAAACATGTCTCATTTTCAGGCTTAAAAATAAATGTAAACAAAACACAGGTATTATGGATAGGCTCAGAAACAAAGTCAAAAATAAAATTTTGCAGAAACTGGAATCTAGACTGGAAGAATGACTCGTTTACACTATTAGGAATTGTATTTACTCACAACACCGCAGAAATGGTTGAACGCGACTATAAAGATAAACTTAAGACTCTCAAAATATCAATGAATTAATGGTTAGCAATAGATCTAACGCTCTTTTTTTTCTTTTCTTTTTTATTGGTTCCCAAGATTACAATATTGCAGATATACCAAGCCTTGATACGTACGGCTTAAAGTAATATGGCTACATGATGTACAGGTGAGATATTTTTGTATTAATATATTTATAAACATGCATAATTCATTAAATAGATAATGTACCGATGTACAGGTGTGATATTTTTGTATTATTATATGTATAAACATGCATAATTCATTAAATAGATAATGTACAGATAATGTCAGGTACAAGTCAATACAGTTTGAGTCATCTAAGTACTGGGGAGAGAAGGCTTGTTTACACTATTAGGAATTGTATTTACTCACAACACCGCAGAAATGGTTGAACGCGACTATAAAGATAAACCTAAGACTCTCAAAATATCAATGAATCAATGGTTAGCAATAGATCTAACTCTCTTAGATAGAACTACCATATTGAAAAGTTTACTTTTACCGCAGCTTAATCATTTATTTGTAACTCTACCCAACCCAAATTATCAAAGGATTAAGGAACTTGAGCAGCTCTGCTATAAATTTATAGGGAAAAACAAACCAGACAAAGTCAGTCGAGAAACTATCACAAATAACTACGAATACGGTGGAATACGAGCCCCAGAGATAATAAGACTTATTCGATCACAAAAAAATATCATGGATAAAAAGACTCACCAACTCAGAAGTAAGGAAATTGCTACAAACAAAGACACATTGCGACATCGAGAGCTTTAAACAAACATGCGAAACACACATACTTGAATCAGTAATAACACAAGAAACAAGTCACTTTTGGAAAGACACTTTGAAATCATGGGGTAAATTCGTAAACAGAAAAGCAGAAAACGCAAATAATGCATGTGATATCTTATCCCAACCCTTATGATTAAATGACAATATAAAGATAGATGGAAAACCTATCAATTATAAACAGACCTTCTGTTAGGGTTTGTTAGATTTAGTATAGCAGTGTAACGAGTAATACTGAGCCCAAGTTTACTTTGACTGTCACAAACAAGGACACGATGCAGACAAGTCTGTTGACACAGAGCGTTAGCGGAAGGTGTGTCAATACTGAAATTGACAACAGTAACACCCCAACCCTAGTCGACCTCGATAAAACGATGAAGATGACACACAGTCAGCTTTCCTCCCTTGAACGTAAGTTTGATGATTTTAGGTGCGAGATT